GCAATACAGTGTGACAACCAACTCTAGGAAGTCTTGCGTGCAAAGCCACCAAGGGGTCCCTTGCAGAGTCTGGCGAGAGAGGCAGAAGCTTCCAGCTCTTGAACAAGGCCCTCCCGTCGATATGCTCCCTGATGCGAGGGTTGCGGGGTCTTGGGCGCCGGCTCTTGTTGTGAGTCCAGGGGTTCAAGGTTTAGACCATGCAATGAGAGCCTGGAGGATTCGGGTTGAGTCGCCGAGGATTCGGAGAAAAACGATGCCCTTGAATTTCGAGCAAGTGGAGGAACAACTTCAATGACTGGAAAGTTTGACCGGTGTAGGGTTTAGGGTTTAGGGTGACCGCTTCTGGTATCTAGCGTCTTTCTAGCCGAACCTCACCAGTTGGAGTTGGAGATCTCCAAATTGCCCTGCTGACCTTGATTAGACTTAGCCCCCAGCCCTAAGCCTCAACAACCAAAAACCCCATAATGACACGCTGAAGACCTGAAAACCAGTCTTCGGAGGTCCCTGGGGCTCAACATGAACTTCCCACCTTCGGGGATATCCTATACTGAGCTTAGAACCCTAGCAAAAATTAAAACTGTAGCTGTAGCTGTTTCTTAGGGATTATAATAACCAAAAATTATAAAGTATTTCTAAGTACCCCTAAGCATCGGGCATGTCAGGGAGCACAGGACTCCGACGGTCTCGTCCTGAGGGAAGGCCGCCTCCCGCGCGCGCCGAATTCAGGAACTTCGTCAGCTCTTTGCCGCGGCAGAGCTTCGCATCAGCGAGTACAGAACTTCGCTGCTTGGATGGCCGCAGACGGAGCATTTTTGCAGCGAAGAAGCGTACCCAAGAGACACCAAGGACGGCAAATATTGACGAGTAACGAACACAACACCCTATGCATCTCAAGAAATAACCTGATGGTCACGGCGATGATAACTCAATCTTTGTTTGGCCACTACTACTAGGTTGTACTGCTATTCAATCGCTTGCTGGTACAGTCGTTTGCGTCTTTGGCGCCAGTAGTCGTCGCGCTCGTCGTTGTAGCGGCCGTAGTAGTTGTGGCAGTCGTAGCAGTCGTAGTAGTCGTAGCATCCGTAGTAACCGTGACAACCGTAGTAGTCGTGCTAGTCGTAGTGGTCGTAGTAGTCGTAGTAAGTCGTAGAAGTCGTGTAGTGCAGTGTAGTGCTGTGCAGGGCAGTGTAGGGCAGTGTAGTGCCGTAATGTGTAGGTGTAGAGTAGTGTGTAGTAGCAGCAGTAGTAGTCGTCGTCGTCGTCGCCGTCGTCGTCATGGTCGTCGTCGTACTAGTAGCAGGTATCAACATTGTAGTAGTGGTAGTAGTACTAGTAGTAGTACTAGTACTAGTACTAGTACTAGTACTAGTAGTAGTAGTAGTAGTAGTAGTAGTAGTAGCAGTAGTAGTAGTAGTAGCAGCAGGAGTAGTAGCAGTAGTAGTAGGAGTAGCAGTAGCAGTAGCAGCAGCAGTAGCGGTAGCGGTAGCGGTAGCGGTAGCAGTAGCAGTCGCAGTAGCAGTACAGTAGCAGTAGCAGCAGCAGCAGCAGCAGCAGAAGCAGTACGTGGCAGTAGCAGTAGCAGCAGCAGAAGCAGTAGCGGCAGCAGTAGCGGCAGCAGCAGCAGTAGGAGTAGTAGTAGTAGTAGTAGTAGTAGTAGTGGTGGTAGTGGTGGTGGTGGTAGCAGTAATAGTCGTAATAGAGTAGCAGTAGTGGTGGTGGTGGTGGTGTTAAGAATAACACGCAACCATAGTCAGGAAGGTCGTAGCAGTAGTGGTGGTAGGAGGTTTTTCAGAAAACAACATAGGGTTGTAACTTTCAGAATGCCCACACAGCGAGCCATTTACCAGGTCCTAGCGAGATGAGACTCTTAAGTACATTGAAATCAGCCCGATGTGTTCGGAGGTTTTTGAAATTGCTGCCCCTGGAACCGGACATTTTGAGCTTGGGGAATCACGTTCTTAGAGCTTGCACGTCCGTTTCAGACTTCGGGACCCGCTGCTGTGCCGAGAAATATCTATGCACAAGATCTTGCAGCAAGAACTCAGTGTCTGCGTTCGTTCAGCACTCCTCAACTTCGCGGATCCCTAAACCCCAAACCCTAAAGCCCCTAAAGCACCTAAATTCCCTAAACCCTAAACCCCAGTGACGAGCTGAAAGTCAAAGAACCATCTTGGCTTTCCGGGGTGACGCTTCTCTCAAGCTGCTGCTCATGCCTTGCGAAAGCGCGGGCAGCCACAAAGGGCCTTGTGCACAAATCGTGTTGCGAGTGCTCCTGCTGTTGCAGGCTATGCCGGGGAGGAGGTTTGTCTCAGAGACCGCAGTGCAGAGGTCAACGCACTCCCAATAATAAGTTCTGGACGGATTGCCTGGCAGTCACGACACATCGGGAAGAAAACAAGTAAGCAGCATCGAAAAAATGGCTCAGAGCTGTGATCTTTGCCAACTTCTGTCTGTCTCCAGGGACGTGGTTTAGGGTTTAGGGTTCCTGTACAGGGTTCTAGAAGGGGGACTACAAGAGGTACTAGCTAATTGGCTTGGGGTTTAGGGTTTGGGGTTTAGGGGTTTAGGGTGCCGGACTGGAGCCGGCTGGCTCTGAGTCAAGTCTAATGCTCACCAAACACACTTCACTTTGCTGGCAGTTTCGTGTCTCACATCCTCCACCACAACACATCGGAGGTGAAAAGGACAAGGGTGCCCCCACCCCACCGTCAACATTCCACCTAATCTAGGTGTCTTAATCATTAGAATAGGGTTTCGGGGGCCATTATACGATAATTGGGTGGTTGTCAAAATTATGGTCCCTTTTTGGGTCCCTATCATAATACGGCACCTATTATTTAGGGTACCCAAAAAGGGACCTTAATTTTGACAACTACCCAATTATGAAAGCCATCATTATGAAAGCCCGGAGGGCCCCTACAGTCGAATCCCAAAAGTTGGAAACCCCATAGCCTCAATCCTGAAGAGTAATGTAGGGGGAATCCCAGCACTATCTGGGAGTTTCCGAAAATAGGGGACCCTAAAATAGTACGGAAAATAATAGGGTCCTTATTATAAGGACCCCCCAAATAAGGTACCCCTGATTTTCGGAAACTCCCATTTGGCCTTTATCCGGTTTCTAACTTTATGGTACTGTACAGTGTCCTGATTTCGGTGTGCAGGAGCTTTCCCTGAGCTGTCACTTCCTGAACTCAACTCCGGTCTAGGGTTTAGGGAATGGGATGCCCCCCGAAAGCCTCATCCGAGCTTCATACAATGGCATTTGTCTCACAGGACTTGATACCTCTACCGGTACAAGCAACATCGCGAGGCGAAGCCATACCAGCACACGTATAGATTCCAGCGGAACCGTGCTGGAGAGTTCAGGTGTACAACCGCGCGCAGCTCACGCTGTTTCTATGCACTTCGAAGTTGGGCTTATTAGGCTTAGTGCTGACGGCTTGAAACTTCCTTCATGCACTTCTTTGCAATTCCGGCAGCAAGCCAGGCATCAAGACATCCGGTGCTGAAGCCCTAAACCCTAGACCCCTAAACCCCTAAACCCGAAACCCCAAACCCTAAATCCTAAGTCGCTTCGACTCGTCGAGTTATGGGCTGGGGGAGAACTGTTGTCCTCTCATCATCTAAGCAATGCTATGCACCGGCAAGGCCTGGCACTTTGCAGAGGTTTAGGGTTTAGGGTTTAGGGTCCTCTGCCAAGCCTCAGAACTAGAAAATGAGCTCCCCTAAACCCCAAACCTTAAGCCGTAAATCGGAAAATCCCTACACCCCAACCCTGAACCCTAAATCCTACACCCCACCCTATCCCTCCTTGACCGCAAGGCCCTTACATTCCCGTCCCAGAAACCAAGACCCTCATCCTCAGATGCCATAAACCTACTTCACGATGTTTAGAGTACAGGCAGGGTACAGGGTTTGGGATTTAGGGCTGAGAGGATCGGGGGACTTAGTAAGCATTTTCCTGAGCACCTGCTGCGGGAATATAAAGCCATTACAAGCCATAGTCTACGCTCACCTTCCTCGTAACTTTACTGGCCAAACCCTAAACCCTAAACCCTAAGCTAGCTGACTCTGAAACGCTGGCGCAGCCCTAAATTCCCCTTGTAACTTTACTGCTGCAGCCTCCAGGGTTTAGGGTTCGAGGAGGGGGTAGGATGCAAGGGCTTCTGCTTTGGCATTTACAGCTTGTGCTTATCTTTCTTGGTGGGGTTGCTCCTTGTTTTAAGACTTAGGGTTTGGTTTAGGGTTTAGGGTTTAGCGGAACCCTGTGAGTCGTCCACATGAGCGCCAAACCTCGCCGGAGGATATCGGAAAGCTGCACGCGCTTCCAACGTCCAATCTCGTCAGACCAGAGACTTTGACCTACATTATGTAAAACGGTACATGAGACGAAAAGCCTCAAGCCCCTTAGCCCTAAACCCTCGGCCCTGACATCTAAACCCTAGGGCCCACATATCCTCAAGCCCGAAACGCCGCCCCAAAGTTGGGGTGTTCAGGCTTTGAGCTCAATATTGGTGCCTGAATAATCCATACTTCTCTTACTCTGGGCAATCTTTACAGGGAATAGAACAACATCTTGGTCCGATTTCATCATCTTAGCTTCAGAAATCGACGTAACAGCGGCACCACGATCATGATGAATGTCAACCATGATGATGACAATACCAAACAAGGTAATATACAAGTAGTGATGTTAGTGATCATTCAGAAACATCAGATCATGGGCATGAAACGGTATAAAAGAATTATTAAACGGCAACAACTAATCGCAATCACGTCAGTGCAGGTGGGCTTCGAAAGCGTGGGGCTCAGGGCTTTAGGGTGGCATTTAGGCTTCAGTGTTTCAGATTAAGACTGTGAGTATCTGGGATGAGGGTAAAGACGGTTTAGGGTTTAGGGTTTAGGGTCCCAAGGCTCGAAGAGAAAAGAAAAACGCTGTTTCAGCACGCTTACAGTCACTTCCGTACTCGAATTCCAGGCACTATGGAAAATTTGGACTGCTATGCCCGGCCTGTGTCCACGGAATGCAAGCCCATGTTGGCTTGTGGCTCCTGCACGACATGGAGTGCGTCATCTCTTGCGGGACAGGCAAGCTCAAAAATCTGCGTGCCTTCGGAAGTCAAACCCCAGCCCTACAATCTGAAACTAAAAAAATTCGACCAGGGCCCCACAGCCCTAAACCCTAAACCCTCCACCCTGAACCGAAAAATTTCGCTATAACCCATAAAGACAGCAATTATGGCCAAGATCGCTTCTAGTCCTCTAGGCATTGCAGGAGAACTGTATGAGCAGAACTTCCACCAATGTAATTCCCACTCCCGCTTCCCGATAGCCCTCCAAACTCATGCAGCTTCGTGTTTCCGGGTGTTCGACGGTTTAGGGCTTAGGGTTTCCGGGCTGGGGTTTAGGGTGTCTTGCTGCGCACATGTCGTTAAGTCGTTTATCCATGCTAAGATGGCTCCACCTCACAGCACGGTTTTTGTGGCGGCGGCGGCAAATGTTTCGTCAAGCGACCTTCCTTGTGCGCCGTGACAGAACTCCGTGGGGCCGGAAGTTCTTTTTACCAAGCCGCTGCGATGATACCACAGGCAACCACCCGCTGTTGGGGAGTTTAGGGTGTTCAGTCAAATCTAGGGGCCTTAATAATTAGAACATGGTTTTGGAGCCCATTGTACTCTGCCCCTGTAGTAGGTGTTTCTCGATGACCCTTTGCCATCTCATCCGCCTGCGGAAATCAGGGCGGGCTTCTGAAACCCTAAACCTTAAACTCTGAACCCCTAAATCATACTAGGGTTTAGGGTTTAGGGTTACTAGGGATCCTACTACAATTTAACGTATATTCCATAAGTAAGGGATGTTGGAGACTCTTGGGAAGTCTGAGGACGTTGCAATTCTGGCCCAGGGTCCACGATCCTAGTGCCCGCCTCTAAACCCTAAGGCCTAATAGGGTTCAGGGTTTAGGGGTTTAAGGTTTAGGGTGTAGGGTTCTAACGCCTAAACTTCAAAGCCTAAACACAAGCGCGCGAATCGACCATGCCTGAAAACAAGCGAAGCAAAGCCGCTCAAGCTCCGAGTACATATAGAAAAGCAACTCCAAATTGAGCAATGGCGTTAGGGCCGAGGGTTCAGTGTCTCGGGAAATCCAACATAAAACATGACATCAAAATGTGTTCGGGGTTTGTGCTGTAGTGTTTCAGGGCTTCGGGCCGAGGAAGCACTTAGCATATAGGTAAACATACACGACGCCAAACGAAGATCCTAAACCCTACTTGGAGGATCATGGGACTTAGTAAGTCAGGTTATAGGTACCTTAATTGGGGTTATAAGTATAGTTACCCTAATTGTAACCCTAGTTACTAAGTCCCATGATCCTTTAAGTAAACCCTCGCTCCCCAAGCCCGCGATACCCCTGCGACTGGCACTGCGCAGGTTCCCCGGAATGGAAACCCCTCCACCCCAAGTTACCAAGACCGAAGCCCCCAAAACCCTTAATCCAAAACTTAGGATGTCCTTAAGGGGGGGTGGTCCAGGGGGGGTAGGTAACCTAGTAATCCCCATGATTCCCCAATACTCCCTAAGCTTCCCTAAGGTTCCCCAAAGCTCCCTAGTACCCTCCCCCCTTGAACCACCCCCCCTTAAGGATCCTATTAAAAACCCTGGACCCGAAGCCCTAAACACAAAACCTAAACCCCAAACCCTAAACGCAGAAGACCACACGCTCAGGAGCCTGGACCCGAAACACATAAACCTAATATAGGGTTTAGGGTTTAGGGTTTAGGGTTTAGGGTTTAGGGTGGATTTGGGGCCCATTATACCATACTTGCAATAAGGAACCCCCGGCCCCAAAATAGTATTGGCAATTATTTAGGCCCCCACTCTATGTCTATAGTAACATTTATAGACCCCCTTAGAAGGAACCCTAAAAAGGGACCCTATTCAAATTATCAGTTTCTGTAATTACTAAGGCCCCTATAGTATCCCGAGCCCGCGCAGCCCATCCTTCTCTTGGGATGCCACGTTTGACCTGTGTGGAAAGCAGCATCCAGGAGCAAGAGTTTAGGGTGTTTGGCTGAGGGTCTTGAGGGTTTGAGCACTTTCGGGCTTCGGGCTTCAGGGCCTTCGAGTTTTTTTGAGCTCCTTTTTCCCAGAGGCGGCAAGTTTTGGGCTTAGGGTCTTGAGGGTTTTAGCGTGCGGGGCTTCAGGGTTTTAGGGTTTCAAGCGCTTCAGGGCTTGGGGGTTTGGGTATAGGGTCTTGAGGGTTTCAGCGTTCGGGGATTTAGGGTTTCAGGGTTTCAAGTGCTTCAGGGCTTCGGGTTTAGGGCCTGGGGCTTTGGGTCTACTCGCAGGTTCATGGGTAGTTGTAAGTGGGGTTAGAACGAAGTCCCCTAGTCTGGGTCATAATTACGGTTACCCTACTTATAACCCCACTTAGAACTACCCATGAACCTCCAAGTAGGCCCTAAACCCTATACCCCTATAGAATCCCTATAGATCCCTTTAAAGGGACCCTTAAAGGATCCCTTATAACTACCCATGAACCTCCAAGTAGAGGGTGTTCGGGTTCGGGGGTCCGACCCGGGAGCCTGCAACTGGACGACACGCCAAACAAACGACCGGAAGCCCTGGCACACTAAACCCTACTTGGAGGATCATGGGACTTAGTAGCTAGGGTTATAATTCAGGTAACTATACTTATAACCCCAATTAGGGTACTTATAACCTTAATTACTTACTAAGTCCCATGATCCTCCAAGTAAACCCGAACCCCCTAAAGCCGAAACCCCTAAACCCCTAAACCCGAAACCCTAAACCCGAAACCCCTAAACCCGAAAGCCCTAAGCGAAGCCCCTAAACCCCAAACCCTAAACCCTGAACCCTAAACACGAAACACATGCCCCTTTGTGAGATCGATCCCTGCTGCGGTCCTCGAGAAACTGAGGCTCGAACTTTAAAAATGTAGGAGCTTGATTAAGAAACCTTGGGCCTTCATTAGGGTTCCGTATATGAATCCTACTATTTTGGTGTTATAGGCCCAGGGTTTCTTAATCAGGTTCCTACACCAGGTGACGATTTCAACAGTCCACAAAAATAATGTATAATTAGGGCTCTATATTCAACAGTACAGAAAGTTCAAACTTTGTCCCGGATCGATACCTAGTCTACAAAAGCGTTCTCCACCTGCAACCCCAAATCTTCAAGCTTGTATACCTTAGAAGGGGAGTAGTGTAACAGGACTATAATCGGGCCCTAATATCATCCTTATAGTCACTATTACAGGGTGGGGGCCCCTTCTAATGCATACCCTTGGCAAACCGCGAACCTTAATCTCCATATAAACCCCCAACGATTACCATCTAAATCGTAGAAACCAACTACGCAGCACCGATGAATCCACAATAGAAGCCGCCGCCCAGCTTGGGGCTCAATATAGGAGCCTTGATAAATAATTATTAGAATATTTGCTCTGGTGCCCATCAAACAATAGTTACAATAAGGACCACCCAAAACAGTATGTATTACTAATAGTAGAGCTTAGGAAAAGCCTTCTTGGGGCTTTCTTGCATGTGGGTCCAACTATAGTTAGGACAGGGTTTTGTACAGGGATGGCATTAGGGTGAACTCCTTATCGAGACACCTTTGGGAGCATGTGTACAGTTTGGAGTAAGGCTTGGGCCAGTTTAGGGCTACCGTCGGACATTTTGGAGCCCGATACCTCAAGGGCTTTGGGCCCAGGGTTAGGGGGAGGAATTTAGATTAGAAAGGCCTCTTGTGAGGACAAGTGGCCTGGTCATGCGGACGACCGTCTGCAGAACAGCTAGGCTCGAGAGAATGAGAAGCCTTGACAAGGTTCAAGAAGCTGCCACTGGGGGTTTCTTGGATTATGGTGGTTTAGAGTTTAGGGTTTAGGGTTTTAGGTTTAGGATAACCTCGTGTAGGGGCCCTTATACTGCTTAGGGTCCATGCCAATGTGACCTTGCAGTGCAGTTAAACAACATCTTCACAGCTGGATTTATCGCTTTGAAGAGCTCCACGAGCCTTACTACGGTTGATGATATAAATCCTGCACTACCCGTAATAAGGAATATACCATGATTCCCAGTCTAAACCTGTGCTGCGTGAATCCCGGGGAGCACCGGGGTTACTACTTAAAGGGTCATGGGACTTAGTAACTAGGGTTATAATTAGGGTAACTAGACTTATAACCCCAATGAAGGCACTTATAACCTTACTTACTAAGTCCCATGATCCTCCACTATAGAACCCTTTAAGGATCCCTTTAAAGAGCCCTTCCCATGATCCCCCAAGTAGCGTCATGAGCACGCCCCAAGCTGCTGGGAGTCGAAGATCTAGGAGCACAAGCGGTATGACTAATCTGTGGTCACTATGGGTACTACTAAAGCAAGAAATGTAGGGGCCTTAATAATTGGAATACGGTTTTGGGCCGCATTATACTGTAATCATTGTAAGAAACCCCACCATAGTATTGGTAATTATTTAGGCCTCTAGAGTATCGCTGGTAATAAAGTGGCAGTGGTATAGGCACCGCTTGTAACATCGTAAAGTAGTGCTAATGGTAGAGCTATGGGCATTAGTCGTATCGGCCACCCCACCCTAAAGCCTAAGCCCCCAATCGAGAGGCAGCATGCCCAATCGCTGGGAGGACGACAGAGATCAGGGCCAGGGTTTCTGGGATAGGAATGATGATTCGAAAGTTACCCTAAACCCTAGACCCTTAACCCCTAAAACCCTGAACCCAAACCGCCCTTCTACTTAGAGGATCATGGGACTGAGTAAGTAAGGTTATAAATGCCCCAATTGGGGTCATAAGTGTAGTGACCCTAATTATAACCCTATGTACTAAGTCCCATGATCCTTTAAGTAGCCCTGGAACTGCAGCCGCAGGCGAGGGGCGGCGCGAGCTGAAGGACATGGTCAGGGGATGCACTGGAAGACTGAGTCACGAGTGCCTCGGATAGGCGTAGTTTAGGGTTTTGGGTTTAGGGTTAGGCGTAATATAGGAGCCTTAATAGATAGATATAGTTAGAATAGGGTTTTGGGGTATATTAGACCGTAATTATAATAAGGAACCCCCAAAATAGTATATTGGCAAATATTTAGGCCCCTGTACTACGGATTACAGCTTGCGGGTTTGAGGTCTCTGCTTCCGCGTTGCTTAGCCTCGACAGGCATGACATGAAGTAAAAAAAAACGGGATGCAAAGCCCGGAGAGCCCAAAACCCCTTAATTAAGGAATATAGCTTAAATCATAATATGAAGCCCCTTGTAATTTAAGGTATACTGCTTAATTAAGGGGTATTGGGCTCTCTGGGAGGGAAGTGCTACTAGCCCCCGCATCTTTCACTTCGGTTAGGGCTTCAAGCCCAAAGCCCCAAAACTCCAAGCGCGAGCTGAAAGTGCAAAGATCCTACAATCGCCCCCTGAAGACCACTAGCCTGATGGGTTCAGAGTTCTGGGCGTGGGCCGTTGGGATTTAGGCTAGCCGTCTACTTTTTAGGACCCTAAACTCCAAACCCGAAAGTTGGTTTAGGGTTTAGGGGGTTTTGGTGTTTAGGGTTTGGGTCTTCGCGGTTTAAGGTTTCGGTGTTAGGGTTTAGGGTTTTTTTTAGGGTTTCTCACTGGCCCAAAGCCCCAGGAAACAAAAGTTGAAACTTTCAGAAACGACTACCTTATAAGAGCCCCAAAAGTTGAAAAGTTGAGTTTACAGCCAATAAGGTTTTTTTTAGGGGTTCAGGGTTTAGGGTTTAGGGCGCCTCAACACGCTTGGGAAGGAACCCCAAGAGTCCCTGGTCTCGGAAACCGCAACATCCTAGAGCTGCGCTCCTTTCTAGTACTTCAAGGATCATAGGACTTAGTAACTAGGGTTATAATTAGGGAAACTATACTTATAACCCATATTAGGGTACTTATAACCTTATTTACTAAGTCCCATGATCCTCCAAGTATCCTTATGGGAGGGGGCTCCAAGGGGGGGTAACCTACCAATCCCTGGTTCTCTCCAGTGCTCCCTAAGGCTCCTTCAGGTTTTTCTAAGGATCCCTTGTACCCTCCCCCCTTGAACCACCCTCCCTTAAGGACCCTATAACTCCTGCTAAGGAGCCTAGCTTCAGTTATCAGACAGGGGGTCGATAGCAAATAACCGGGCTTCATTGTTGTAGCAACTTAAGTAAAATTGCGCAGCAAGAACTCAGAATAATTCGTGCGGAAATCATGGAAGCCATGAAACCGACCGAAACAACTCATCTTGGCACTTGGCATGGGCCGTGGCTTGGTGGTTCAAGGTTTACGGTTGGGGCTTGGGGCCTTCCGACGTCGGAGGCTTTTGGCCTTCAGGAATCGTTTAGGGTCGTAAGGCACGCGTTTTATCGGGGATCCGGCCGAGCTCGAAATCTGAAACACCCCCTGGACCCCTAGACCCCAAACCCCGAACCCAACCACAAAACCCCAAAGCACTAAAAGGCCCTGGAGGCCCTCCCCTGGCCGATGCATCGAAGAGCTGACAGAGAGGAGCATGCCCCGACCAAGTCCGTCACGGCCTTTCCCAAGTTGAGCACACCAGTAAAGTCGCATGCTGGATAGAAGTGTCAGGTGGCTGATCCCGGTTTGTGCCTAGAGACGGGTCTGTGGACTCCAACAAACATCGCGTTATGCGTCTCGTGACCACCAAGCATTGCAGTTATCCCGGTCGAATGTGAGCTAAGACCCAGTGCAGGGGCGGGAATGCTTCGAAAAATGCGAGGGAACCGGAAGTGTGACACTGTCACATAAGGCCTATGAGGGGATGTGCTGATTGTTCAGACGGCTAAATGAAGGCTCAAGCTTCGGGGCTTAAGGTTCTTTTTGTTTTAAAAGTGCAATGGTGCCTTTCTGCGAGTCCTCGCAGTAAGTCACCTGCCACACGAACGGACACGCTTAACTGCTTCAGGTTTGCGGCTTCGGGCTTGCGGTTTAGGGATGTTTTCAAGGGTTTTGAGTTTAGGGTTTCTTCCTTGAGGATTTAGGGTTCAGGGATTTTTGTTCTAAGGGCTCACCCAGCGAGCCCAATGCTCCTTAATTAAGCATTATACCTTGAATTACAAGGGGCTTCATATGATGATTTAAGCTCTATTCAATAATTCAATAACTAAGGGATATATGAGCCCCCTAAACCCTAAACCCTATACATCCCTTATAGGATCCCCTTTTAAGGAGCCCTTATCCTAGCACTTATAGGATCCCCCTTTACAGGACCCTTTAAAGGAGCCCGTATAGATCTCTTTAAAGGAAGCCTAGGACTTAGAGCATCCCCCTTTAACGGAACCTAGGAGAGCCGCCCCCTGGTTCAACCCAGAGACTCCAATATCCCTTAATTAAGGAATATACCTTACATTATATTAGGATCCTTAATATGATTGAAGGAATATTCCTCAATTAAGGGATATTGGAGTCTCTGGGCCCCTGGTTCAAGCAGCTTTGGCCCGGGCCTCCAAGCCGTCTACAAGCTGATCCAAGCCTTGGGGGGCGGGCTTTTGGTTTTCGAAGAGGGTTTAGGGTTTAGGGTTTAGAATAGGGTTTTGGGGACCATGATACCATAATTATAATAAGGAACCCCCAAATTCTTTTTTTTGAGCTCCATGACTGCAGTGCCCAGGGGTCTGCGAGTTTTGGGTTTAGGGCTTTAGGGTTTAGGGTTTAGGGTATTAGGGTACTAGGGTTTAGGGTTTAGGGTATTAGGGTACTGGGGTTTAGGGTTAGGGCATTAGGGTACTAGGGTTTGGGGTATTAAATTGTAGTAGGATCCCTGATATGATTTCAGGAATATTCCTTAAGTAAAGTTAAAGTATTGAGGCGGGCTTTTGTTTTTTTTTTTTGTTGAGCTCCTTGTCCGCAGTCAGCGCCCAGGGGTCTGCCAGTTTTGGGTTTAGGGCCTTAGCGCTTCGGGTTTTGGGTTCAGGGCCTACGGTTGATGATATAAATCCTGCATCACCCAAAGTAAGGAATATACCATAATTCCCATAGTTTAGGGTCCTTAAGGTCATGCAGGATTTATATCATCAACCGTAGGGTTCCGGGTTTAGGGTTTCCGGCCTTAGGGCTTTAGGGCTTTAGGGTTTCGGGTTCAGGGCCTTGGGGCCTTAGGGTTTAGGGTTTGGGGTTCAGGGCCCAGGGTTTAGGGTTTCGGGTTGGGTGGCTTTCGCGAAAAAGACAGGGGTCCCGTTTAGGTGAGCCTTTTCCTACTCTATCCCGTAACTCCTGCTTGTGGGCTTCGGGGCAGAGGGGGTAAGCTGCAAAACCCAAGTCAAGGCCCCCACACTCAGCTTCGCAGTTCCAGGCAAACCCTAAACCCTAAACAGAGCTTGTGCCACACACCCAAAGTCTAAAAGCTTCAGCATGGGACAGCATAGAGACATTTTAGGGCTGAGCATCTTTACGTTGGAGTCTGCCAGGGAAACCAATCATCAACACCTCTAAATGCTTAGTTCGAGACCCTAAGCCTCGCTTTCATCCATGCCACTGTCCAGAATCAGCGTGCGGCTCTGATCAAATTTCTCCTCGCACGTGTGGTGCGGCACTTCGTGGAAAGAGTTGCGAGTAGTGCATCTGTTACTATGACGGCAAGCTACCACTGCTCCCTGCATTACTACTGCTCCTAGACACTCTTAAGGCAACTAAGCCTTTCTACTCGTCTACCCCACATGAATCACTTCAAACCTAAGCTGACCCAGGTAGAACCCTAAACTCCGAAACTGGACCCTGGGCTACGGGGTCATGGCTTCTTTTCTTACGGGCTTATACGGCTCGGGATAAAGAGTTTAGGGTTCACGGTGCAGCGTTGAGGTTCAGGGCGAGTTGGGGGGTTTGCGGTGAAGGGCCGAGCGTGTCCGTGTCCTTGTCCGGGTGCGGCTTCGGTCTATGACTATGGGTCGGTCTACAGCCGGGAACTTTTGTTTTAAATATAGTGCATCGGTCATTTCGACCATCCACAAGCCCACCCTTTTCGGGCAGCACTCAAGAACACGACCTTCCGAAATCCAGACGACCTGTCATCATCCGACTTCGACTGCACGTACAGAGGGTTTAGGGCTTACGGCTTGGTGACAAAAATGTCGACGCACGATCTTTGATTGGCCTCAACCCTCAACCCTGAACCGCTATTGAGCCCCTGTAAAACAATGTAAAACCGATGATCCCCCATACTATACCATACTATACCATACTATACCATACTATACCATACTATACCATACTATACCATACTATACCATACTATACCATACTATACCATACTATACCCTACATACTATACACGTCTACGATACACAAATACTACATACTATACAGTACTATACACTATCCCAGTCCTCAATGGAGGTGGCGGGCTTCGCCAAGATGTGCTGCAGGCCCTCGGAGACGTGGCCACAGTCCGAGAGGCCTGCGACCGGTCAGGGCTTGGGGTTCAGGGTTTTGGGTTTAGGGTTTAAGGCTTTTTTAAACCAATTTAAACAGTTTAGGGCTTTTTTAACTAGATACAAGGGTTTAAAGCTTTTTTAAACCAATTTAAACAGTTTAGGTGTTTTTTTAACTAGATACAAGGGTTTAAGGCTTTTTAAACCAATTTAAACAGTTTAGGGCTTTTTCTAACTAAATACACTAATGGGTTTTGGGCTTCTTTTAGCTAAATACGCAACTCAAGGGTTTGGGGCTTAGGGTTCAGGGATTAGGACTCAGAGTTTTGAGTTTCGCGTTTAGGCTTTTAGGGTTTAGGGTTGAGGCGTTTGGGCTTCAAGCTCCTAGGGCTTTCACAACTTGGGGGCTTGGAGTGCTTGGGGTGGGCGTCTGCGGAGTCTGCGGCTTACAAGCGAGATTGGTAGGGATTTCAACGAGGTATGCAAAAGTGCACACTGTACGCTGTTTGGAAACAAATATGCCTTCGAGGCTGTCTTCCATCTGTCAGCGCCAGCTTTCCTATTGCCCACAATCTGAGGAGGAAGAACAAAACGAATCACAGTGCCCTGAGCCCCAGTACGTTCAACACTCTCCCTGCTTGCTTGAGATTTCTGTGCAACAGCGCTGCAGGCAGGTGCATGGCGGTCGCTCTCTTTCGTTTGGTATTCTGTCACAGGCTGATCGCCGTTGCTCTCTTTGGCGGAATGCGTCTTGATGTTGCCAGTGCTTGCTGCTTATCTGTCCCGTTGTGACTTTGATGCGCTCCACTCAACCCTAAACCCTAAATCCTAAACCCCAAACCCTAAATCCTAAACCCTAAACCCCAAACCCTAAATCCTAAACCCTAAACCCCAAACCCCAAACCGACATATCAATGGATGTCGAGGCAAGCCGGTCTTTGGGATCCAGAACCACGGAGGCACGGGGGGCCTGAGCGCTTCGCATGCAGCTTGATCACGTCGCCTGGCGGCTTCCGCCAGCTCTGGTCGGGTGAAGAGTACTGTACTCGGAGGTTCATGGGACTTAGTCATTAAGGTTATAAGTACCCTAGTTGGGGTTATAAATATCGTTACCCTGATTGGTTAATTCCGAGGAATTCACAAAATGGGTTTCTCTCGAGTTTTTCCGAGTCGCGAGACAACCAAAGCATATTCAACTCGGTGCCAAAAAGTGCTTAAAGGATCATGGGAGCTACTAACTCAGCTTATAGTTAAGGTAACTTACTTATAACCCCAATTGAGGTACTTATAACCTTACTTGCTAGTCCCATGATCCTCCAAGTGGGGGAGGTTGGAGGAGATAGGACACGCCGGCCGGAAGGTTCCACACCCGGGACCTCGTTCGGAGCCTGGGAAACCATAAGGGCCCACCTGTGGACTGTCTAGGTTTAGGGCTTAGGGTGGACCGTGCAGGATTTATGAGGTTCTGGACCTGAGCTAACAGCAGTCGCAACCATCGTCGTTACCATCGTCTTAGTAGCAAGCAGTACCGAACTCACGACTTCTTCTCCATCGCTACACAGCCAGAAAGAACAAGCAATGCCAGGACTGACATGTGCAATGCTGCTGGTACGATTCGAATGACAGGAAGCATCGCGGTCGTGGCAGTGTGAAGAAACAGCCGTGAGGAAATCGCAACCCAAGGCACGGATGGACGACAGCCATTCAGGAACTGGGGCATCCTGCATCAAACACACATGACGACCCCTTTGGCCAGGATGCAGGGCTTCACAGTTTTTAGGATAGAAGCAGCCTTACTGCGCCGTATACCGCACAGGGCCATACACCCATCTAGGGTTCAGGGCTTACTCGGAGGTTCATGGGTAGCTATAAGTGGGGTTATAAGTAAGGTAACCATAATTATAACCCATATTCGGGGACTTATAACCCCACTTATAACTACCCATGAACCTCCAATTAGGGTTTACGGATTGAGGTTTCCGGTGTTGGGTGCTCGAGCCCGAAACCCACAGCAAGAAAGCTTGGCCCGACGCCCTGGATGCAAGGGTCCATATGGGTGGTTGTCAAAATTAAGGTCCCTTTTTGGGTGCCCTAAATAATAGGTGCCGTATTATGATAGGGACCCAAAAAGGGATTATATTTTTTGACAACCACCCCTTTCTTGATGCTGAGCCCGAGATTCATGGAAACACTGAACCCTAAACCGCAAACCCAAATCCAGAACTCTAAACCCTTGACCCCAAACGACGCTACCCTAAACCCTAAACCCTGGATTCCAAACATCCCAAAAGCCATACCTGCAAAGATCTTAAGCCCGACATTCTCGCCCGCTAATACCTCGAGAAAACCTGGGGATTTAGGGTTCAGTGTCCGAGCAGGCCCCTGTAAAATGAAGGTGCCCTTCAGGGGTGGTGTAGGGATTACTGCCGAGGTTACTATACGAGCGCTAGAAGGTGACCTAAGGCTTACTATGAGGATTACTCTCAGGGTTACCAAAAGGGTTCAGTGTAGACAGTGTAGGAGCTTGGCATGAATGGTATAACTTTATAACTATATAGGGAAGTTTTAAAGGGATATTCTTACTAGGTCATCAGAGAGCCCAACACCAGGAGTATACCTCGAATGATAAAGGAGGCTTAATATTGCGGTTTAAGTTATATTCCTAACTGAAGGGGTATTGTGCTCTCTCGGTAATCAGATCCCCGCAATAAGACACAGGAAGTCTTCCTGCGCAGGCGACGTGTAGCCCTCCGACACATGGAGGTTTCCTTCCTGGCACTGGTATTCTTGATTTGTTTAAGGCTTTTTCCTTCCTACCAGTGGTGTTCTTGAATTTTGGGTGACCCTTTCAGTACTTAAGGTTGAGGCTTTAAGGCTTAGAATAGGCATTTCAGGTTTGGCGTCTAAGGGGTTGGCTCTCCGAGATGGCTGTCTCCTTTGAACGACACCGGGCAGCAGGGAGGGAAGGCAAGGAGTGAAGGCCACCCCTAGAAACCCTAACCTGCCATCCTGACTGCTGTCCCCCTCCTTTGGGCACGACTGCTGTGCGTATTGTGATCATGGGACTTAGTAACTAAGGTTAGAATTAGGGTAACTATACTTGTAACCCCAACTGAGGTACTTATAACGTTACTTACTCAGTCCCATGATCCTCCAAGGAATGCTGTTCCTCCGCTACTATGACATCGAACTTTGTGGCTCTCGCGAAGATTGAGGTCTCCATGATTTTACGTTTGGCTGTGTAGTCTGACTCTCCCCATAGGTGCATTGGTACGCTGATGAAAACTATAAGGATTACGAAAGGGTGGTGCCGTAAGGGTTTTGGTATAGGACTGAGCATCAGAAATCCTCTGTCGTCCTCATCCTCTGGCCTTTGCCCCATTGCAGTTTGGGGGGGGGGGGGGCATGACATTACACACCCAAACTTGCAAATGCACCGCGGTCGCCCGAAACTAATCACTCTGAACAAGGCGTTGCCTGCAAAGCCCGCATTGCATGAACTAAGCCAAGCTATGTTTATTACCAATACAAACCTGCTCGGAATGTTTAGTCGCATAGTTCCAGCTTTGAGTTACAGCATGTGCTTCCTAATCCTGAAAATCTGCTCCGCAAGGGGCATGAATTCTCTTGCCTGCTGTCATTGCTCCACATCCAACTACGACGACTCTGAGCATCCTTGAAACCATCCTACGGCTGTCCCTAAACCCTAAACCCTAAACCCTAAACCCTAAACCCTAAACCCTTAAACCGGCTGTCCTGGATAAGCTTCTCCAGGAGTGCGACCACGTTCTTATCCTTGGAGTACTGGAGCAGCCTTGGCTTAGGGTTTAGGACGGTTTAGGGTTTAGGGTTTAGGGGTTTAGGGTTTAGGGTTTAGGGTTTAGGGCGTCTCGCCGCGCAGCGGCAGTATTTTCTATGTAGGATGGCGCCCCAACACTCCCAGGGGTGTGAGGGGGCGGCATATCTACGTCTAGCGTTCGAATGCGATTCCACTACCAAACAATTACACATTGGTTCCTAACCTTTTCCCACCCGCTGTGAGAGTACACAGGCTACCACCCAAAATATTGCCTTTTAGGGTTTAAGGCTTACGCCCTCAATTCCCACCTCGACCCTGGCTTGCCGCTGCTGCACACTTTGCGTGCTTTCGCTGCGTACCACTGTCGGAGTCCCACGAAACAAAAAAAACATAGACACTTTGCTTCGGAGCGGTAAGACAAGGGCACTAAGTGCAAAAGCATGCAAGAAGTCGTGGTGAGCCAATGCCTGCGGCAGGATGACGCGCGTGACGCGCGTGACGCGCGGGCCCGGGGAGGGCCGGGGGGGGTATGAGGGCGGCCAGGGGGACCAGGGGCGGAGGGCCAGAAGGCAGGGGCGGCCAGGGGGGCCCGGGGCGCGGGGGAGCAGGGGGGGCCAGGGGGGGGCCAGGGGGGGCCAGGGGGGGCCAGGGGGGGCCCAGGTAGGGTATTCTAATCTCTTGAGATTTGAGGGCGAATATGCGCAAGGGGCCTAATGGCTTGGCTCAGCCCTAGGGGCTGAATTCGTCCATTCTCCAATGGCTCCACCCATTGTCCATCCAGAGTTGGTGTCTGTCACTGCCGGATTTCCTTCTGAGAAAAAGGGTGGGTACGGCCTAAGCAGGCCTGGGTGGGAATTTAGGGTTTAGGGTTTAGGGTTTAGGGCTCAGGGGGTCTGGGATTTAGGGTTTAGGGTTTAGGGTTTAGGGCTCAGGGGGTCTGGGATTTAGGGGCCCTTTAAAGGGATCTACAAGGGGTTCTATAAGAGTTCCTTTAAAGGGATCTATAAAGGGTCTAGGGGTTTAGGGCTTAGGGTTTAGGGGTCTGGGGTTTGCCGTGCTTTTTAGAAGGCCCTTTTCGTGGGTTGAGGGTTTAGGGTTGAGGGCTTTGGGGGCTGAGGGTTTAGGGCTTACAGTAGTGTTTAGGGGCCCATGTTTCTTCAAGCCGGAATCAGAACTATAACCCCCTTTAGAACCATAATAAAAATACAAGCTTTAATATTCTCTTGGGTTTTATATGGACAAAAGGGAAAAAACTTCCTAAGGATACCATAGAGAAGTTGAGATGAGTGCTTAGCCCAAACGTGAAAGCCCCAGGAGGTCGGCTTTCGAAACTTCGGCGCTGAAGCCCAAAAAAAGGGATTCTCTATCTGCTATAGAGCTTGGGGTATAACTTAATATGAACACAAGTGGAACCCCAAGGAATGCTATTGCTACGCTTTTACGCTTCTACATGAGATCTTAAACCACGAACCGGCTGAGGGTTTGGATTCTTCATCTACACCCGAAACCCCAAACCCGCAAACCCCGAAACCTCAAGAGCCCAGAACAAGCCATCATGGGACTTAGTAACTAGGGTTCTTAAAGGGCTCCTTTAAAGGGGTCTATAGGGGTTCTATTATAGGGACTACTTAAAGGATCATGGGACTCAGTAACTAGGCTTATAGTTAGGGTAACTAGACTTATAACCCCAATTAAGATACTTATCACCCTACTTACTAAGTCCCATGATCCTCCAAGTACGACCCTGCTTCAAGGGTCAGGAGGTTGTAAGCCACGTTGCATACAACGCCCATGAAGGTACTTACAACCTTCCTTGGTACGTCCCCGAATCCCTTAAACAGTATAAGCCGAAAAACCCTTCAATACCCCCAAAAAACCTGATAAACCCGTAAACAAACGCAGAAGGAAAATGAATCTATAAACCCGTGAAAACCACTGTAGCATATCATGCTCCTTTTGAGCCGCTAAAACATATGTACGGACTCTATCAAATCCGATGTTGTCATCACCCAGCCGCTCGACGAGCTTGGCCTCATCCCATGCGACGTAAGTTACAGGCTCTGCAGCGACGACCTGCACTTGCAGAACTACCATATCATACTGCAAGACTATAATGGTTAGAGAGTTGGGGTTAAGATCAGCGAAACAGAACCACAGCACAGTAGATGCCACCTGCAGTCGTAAGAATGATACGCAAAGATTTGACAAGGGTTTTTGACGAGACAGGCTTGTCGCGGATTCTCATGCTCGGCTTCGCAGACTTCCCAACAGCCTAGCATTGCAAAACATGCTTTAGGCTTACTTTCCGCTTGCATGCCTAGGGCTGCGGGTTTGGGGTAGCTGCTGTGGGCTTTGACGACTTGGGAGCTGGGTGGAGGGCCGGTTTAGTGTTTAGGGCCTCTGGCGACTGAATGAAATGCACTCCGCACCCTAAGTGTGGGGGCCTTGTGGTTTGAGGCTCAGTGTTCCTTGAGGTGCGTCGGCGCTGGCCGGTTTGGTTGTTGGCGTCGGCTCATGTAGCAGTAACCACGTACTATCCCTGTACATAATATGCCCCTAAACACTAATTACTCTATTTATGCAAGCTCATATCGCAGCAACAAACAGAGTATAAGGCTTCTAGGGACTGAGGCAAACTCGAGAGAAATAACGTTTGGACTTCCGAAGACGAGCCGCGGTAGGGTTTAGGGTTCAACCCTGGTATACAGCTTGAACAAATGGATTAACTGGATCCTTATACTTATAATTAACGAACCCCAGATACAAGCATATACAAGCCCGGGGCACAATTACAATAAATGCAGCAACACCCTATGTCCCCGATGCCCTTTGAAACATCATTAAGAACCAGGGGCAACAAATCCCCGGAGGTCCCGAAACCCTGAACCCCTGGCCTGAACCCCTAACCCCTAAACCCTAAACCCTAAACCCCCTAAACCTTAAACACTAAACCCCAAATCCCTAAACCTCTGACCCCTGAACCTTAAACCCTAAACCCCAAACACTGAACCCTAAGCCCCTCTCCGCCTACACCCCAAACACTAAACCCTAAGCCCTGTAAGAACCCTCTCCGCCGGCCTCGCCCGAGCCTTGCGGAGACAGCAAGGAGCCGGCACTTACCTGCGCGGTTTAGGGTTTAGGGTAAGCCCGGAACTTGCTTTTTTGGGGCCCGCATAGTGTGAATATGGCCTAGTCTAGTACAAGTAGATGAGGGTTTAGGGTTTAGGGGCCTGAATAAGTTGAAAAGAGTTCGGGGTTTTAGGGGCCTGAATAATGTGAAAAGATCTTTTCTCGGGTCGAGTCTAGTATACGTAGATTAGGGTCTAGGGTTTAGGATAAGTTGAATAGGCCTTTTTCTCGGGTATAAGTACCCAGAGAGCCCAATGCCCCTCAATTAACCAAAAAAACTTTTACACCAAAAGGGACTTCATATTGTGATTTAAGCCGTACTCCCTAATTAAGGGATACTGGGCTCCCTGGGTAGATATCCATAAAGAGTGCAGGGCTTTGGGCCAAATCTCGACGAGCTTGAATAGTTGAAACAGGCCCTGAGCCTACCTTGACGGGCCTCCATACCTTGCGCTGTAGCTTCGAGGTTTACTTAAAGGATCATGGGACTTAGTAACTAGGGTTATAGCTAGGGTAACTATACTTACAACCCCAATTAAGGTACTTATAACCTTACTTACTAAGTCCCATGATCCTTTAAGTAGGGTTTCGGGCTTAGGGTTTATAGGGTTGAAGCCCTTGACAGCTGTTGAAAGGCCGGTATGTGGTTTTGCAAAGCTTCCTTGAAGCCCCGGACTTTCCAGGATTGGGGCTGTTGGGCTTGAGGGTTTGGGGTTTAGAGCTCCTTTAAAAAAAAGGCTCCTTGAAGGGTTCCTCCAAGGCCTTGGAGGAGGAAGCGCTTCCTTTAAGGGTTTTTGGGCTGACCCTAAACCCTAAACCCATAAACCCCTAAGTACCCTAAGCCCCTAAACCCCTGAAACCTGAGCCCCTAAACCCCTCAACCCTACTTAAAGGATCATGGGACCTAGTAAGTAAGGTTATAAGTACCTTAATTGTGGTTATAAGTATAGTTACCCTAGCTATAACCCTAGTTACTAAGTCCCATGATCCTTTAAGTAAACCTCAAGGCTGGAATCCTGATGCTTAGGTGGTTTTGGGGGCCCCCCTGAACGCTGAACCCCAAAGCAGCCAAAACACCCGGGCACGGTCGTCAGAGACTGCCTGCCAGGACTCAAATTGAGCGGGCTAAGGTTACACACACATATATATATATATATATATACATATATATATGTAGATATATATGTATATAGATACACATATACATATACATATACATATATATATATATATACATATACATAAACATATACACATACACATACACCTACACATACGCATACACATACACATATACATACACATACACTTACACATACATATACACATACATATACATATACATATACACATACACATACACATACACATACACATACGCATACGCATACGCATACGTATACACATACACATACACATACCATACACGTACACATACACATACACGTACATATACATATACATATACATATACGTATCCCTATACCTATACATATACATATACCTATACTCTATACATATACATATACATATGCATATGCATATACATATACATATACATATACATGTACATGTACATGTACATATACATGTACATATACATATACATATACATATGCATATACATATACATATACATATACATATACATATATGTATACATATATATATACATAAACATATACACATACACATACACCTACACCTACACATACGCATACACATACACATATACATACACATACACTTACACATACACTTACACATACATATACACATACATATACATATACATATACACATACACATACACATACACATACGCATACGAATACGCATACGTATACACATACACATACACATACACATACACGTACACATACACATACACGTACATATACATATACATATACATATACGTATCCCTATACCTATACATATACATATACATATACTCAATACATATACATATACATATGCATATGCATATGCATATGCATATACATATACATATACATATACATATACATATACATATACATATACATATACATATACATGTACATGTACATGTACATATACATATACATATACATATACATATACATATACATATACATATACATATACATATACATATACATATACATATACATATACACACACGCACACACACTTTATGTCTTCATCTGTGTATTTCGTTCTTTCTTTCGTTCAGGGCTTGGGGCTTTCGCGTTGAAGGTGCAGGACGAAGGGTGTTCGACCTAGCTTTCATTTTTGGTGCACGGCGTGGGCCGCTCGCGCTGAGGAACTGCATGAATTGCAGGATAGTGTTTCCCAGTTACTCTGCAGGAACTGTCTAAGCTTCCCAAACCTGGGCACGGCTTGGAAAGTGGTGGGTCCGTTGCGCTGCATGACGTATACTGCTTCGGGGCTTCAGAGGCAAAGTGTGATCTCAGGCATCCTGCACGGGGGGTGGCACTCTCACATTGATTTCTGCTTGGAGGATCATGGGCAGTTATAAGTGAGGAGATAAGCAAAGTAACCATAATTGTGACCCATACTAGGTGAGGTTATAAGTAAGGTAAACAAATCATAACCCATATTCGGGAACTTATAACCCACTTATCACTAGACTCACTAGACATGAACTTCCAAAAAAACACATAATAAAGCAGTCTTGCCGGAGCTATGGGCCGATCTAGATCGGCAAAGAAATCATCTTGCCACGGCCGTCGCTTGACGGCTTTTCGAATCGCGGCATTAGGGAAGGGCTCAGCAATTAAGAAAAACACTCTGGATTCGGAGTCCGAAACAGAACCCTACACCCTGAACCCCCAACCATAAACTCTAAACCCCTAAGGCCCGAAGGTCTAAACCCAAACCCCTGCAGCCTAGACCCCTCAACCCTAAACCCCTACAACCACTAAAGCCTACAACCCCAAGCACTAAGCACCCTCCCAAAAATCACCTCCCCACGCACGAGGATCGCCAGAGCTGCAGTTGAGCTGGGGTCCTCAGGTCGGGTGCCAGGCTTACCCCGAGAGCCTTGCCAATACCCCTTAATTTAGGAATTTTGCTTAAATCATAATATGAAGCCCTTTATAATTTAAGGTATATTGCCTAATTCAGGAATACAGCTTAAATCATAATACGAAGCCCCTTATAATTTAAGGTACCTTGCTGAATTAAGGGGTACAGGGCTCTCTGGGAAGGGATCTGAGGTTCGGTTTGCTTAGGGTTTTGTGGGAGTACTTAAAGGATCGTGGGACTTAGTAACTAGGGTTATAATTAGGGTAACTATACTTATAACCCCAATTAAGGTACTTATAACCTTACTTACTAAGTCCCCTGATCCTCCAAGTAGGGTCAGAAGGCTTAGATCTGAGGCTAAGGTTACGGGTTTATTGGGTTTAAGGCTTCGGGTTGGGGGATTCCGGGGTTTCGGGCTAAGGGTGTAGGGGTTTAGGGTTCAGGGCTTTCAGGATTTCTAGGTTTAAGGCCTTTGGGGCTTGAGGCTTGGTACCTGGAGTTTCGAGTTCACTGCTTTGGGTGGGCTTTCCACCTTGTCCGCCAACTCCCAAGCATCCAAAATCCCCCAAAACATTCAAAACCTAAACCCTGTAAACCCTCAGCCTCTCAAGCTGCGCTTCGCACATGGATTCCCTAAACCCTAAACCCTAAATCCTAAACCCGATTGGGTTGGGGATTCTGCAACTCCGAGTCCCTGGCGGGCTTTAGGGCATTGGAGTCCACTAAGTGCCAATCCGAAAGCCAAACTTAAAACCCACATCCCTAAAATGCCTGACCCAAAGAATGAACACCAAGACACCGCAAGCCGCCAAGCCCCAAAACAAAACTAAACCTCAAACCCCTGAATCCTATAGTTCGAGGCTTTTCGTGCCCTTGAATCCGAAGATCCATGCTTGGCAAATCCTCAGCAACGAGACCCCAAAACCGGAACCCAAATCCCTGCAAGGCATATTCGTCTAAAGGCCGCACGGTTTACTGTTGAGGGTTTACCATACGGGTTTCTACATGGATTACTATGGGGTCTTGGGGGGGTATTGGCTGAGGCCATCGGGGTTGAGGGGTTTGAGCTAACGGTTTCTAAACCTCCTGCCGTCTAGGCTTGAGCGAGAAGTGCACAAGTTAGTTCGGTGAAGCTTTTTGGATCAAGGTCTTCAAACACATCCTGGCCAAGCCCTATATAGTGGCTCGACATGCAATGCAAAAATGCTTCTACAATGATTTAGGGGGCCAGGGCTTGCGGTTCACGGCTTCATTGATGGATCCCAACGCCACATGGGGCCCTGAAACTCCGTGCTGCTGAACGACAAACAACGACTGCCCCGGTTCTGCGTGACCTCAGATGGCTCATGTCTGGGGTCCCCTCAATGGAAGGCCCTGGAACCTGGATGTAATTTTGGGGGTTTTGGGGCTCAGGGCTTTTGCCTTTGATGTGGGGTTTGGGGTTTAGGGCTTACGGGGTTGCAGCCGGGGAAGTTTGAGGGTCTAAGGTTTGATTTTCAGGATGTTTGGCACTTCCTGCGAGACTGGGCTTCATGGCCAAACGGTCCCCAACACCCAAGCCTGAATTCTGAAAGCCTTAGGCCCTGCTTTGATTCGTGTGGTGAACCCTACAACTAAAACCTTAACGCACTAGATCGGAGATCGGACGTACAATCAGGGCTTCACAAAGTGCGTCCAGAGTTGAGTCTGCATACAAGGTTTTGGGGTACCCAATACGTCTGTTGCGGCGAGTCGGCTGCGGCAACCACTAGACTTCTCAGACTGGGGGTAGAACCTCCCATGCGTTTATAAGGGTTTATAGGGTTTCAGAAGGGTTTCCCTCAAACCCCCTAGACCCTCTAAAATGAGAGCCATACACCCCTAATCAGGCCCCAGTTCCCCAGACAGGAGGAGGGGCCCCATTTGCAGCCGGCGCAATGGACCAACTTGTGGAAGTCGTGAAGGGAACAGCCCTGCGGGTGCCGAGGCTTGCATGGAGTTTAGGGCTGGGGGTTTAGGCTTTGTTGTCCTAGTGTTTCTTTCACTATTAGATTTCTAGAGTTTAAAGCTTTAGGGCTTTCGCACACCGGGGCTTGGAGTTTGGACTTGCACAGCTTCCAATGCTTTTTCAAAGCGCGGGATCGGGGTTCATGTAGCCCACCTCTACTCAGAAAAGAAAACCTTGAAAGGGCAGCGTAGGGTTCGATGATAGGGTCCTCTTAAAGGGGTTTAGGGTTTGAGTTTAGGGTTTAGGAGGGTTCTATAGTATCTAGGATGTCGGCATTGAAAACTTTGAAGGGTCCCCTTTTATTCTTGGTACACTTCTCCATTATTTCGTGTCATGATTTTCTTGGCATCGTTCCGTTCAATCTTTCAGGGTCCTATGGTTGGAGGTTCAAGGGTAGTTATCAGTGAGGCTATAAGTAGCGTAACAGTAACTATAAACCAGATTTAGGGATTTATAATCCCACTTATACCAACCAATGAACCTCCAAGTAATGGTTCAAGCGCGCCCCTTAAAGGAACCCTTAAGGGGAACCCTATTCAAGAACTCAAAAAGTACCCGTTAAAAGGAACCCTTAAAGGAACCCTGTAAAAGGGGGGGGGGTGCATGGGTTTCCGGCAAAACACCAAACTCTCGCATCCCAGTCCGACTGGGCTCTAGATTCGGCGGCATTTTTAAGGACTTAGTGGCATATATAGGGTATATCATAGCATATATATGGTATATTATAGCATAGTCATATTAAGGAGCCTTCAGAAAAATGTTGATAATTATTCCGGCCCCTACATCACGCGCCTTGTCCAGGAAGGTGCGGGCGTACAAGAGGGCCTCTGCAGGTCACCGTTACTCCGGCGTGGGGTGCAGGGTTTAGGGTTTAGTTTAAGATCTGGGATTCAGGACACTGCGCTGCGGGTTCTGGGTTTCGGATTTAGGGGTTTAGATTTTTGGAGTTAAGACTCTGGGTTTAGTTATTTGCGTTGTTAGGATAAAGCCTGAGGTTTTGAGTTGAGGATTCGGGTGCAGGATGTGGCATCCAGGTAAAACGAAAGGGGCCTTTGAAGGTTGGAATAGGGTTCCTTTCAGGGCTCCGTTAAGAGTTCCTTTAAGGGCTGATATAACGGTTTAATAAGTTTGGTATAGGGGCCTTGATACTCATAATAGGGATTTGGTGTATAATACCAAATCCAACTATGCTAGGAACCCTGAGGAATATAGAGGTAGTAGCAGTAGTAGTAGTAGTAGTAGTAGTAGTAGTAGTAGTAGTAGTAGTAGTAGTAGTAGTAGTAGTAGTAGTAGTAGTAGTAGTAGTAGTAGTAGTTATTCAAGCTTTTATGTCAGGCTTTGGACCATCTAGGAGCCCGAGTCCGACTTGCCACTGTGGGGTCCTGAATAAGTAGAGTGGGGTTTGGGGGCCCATTACACTATGCTTATAATATAATATCTTACGATAAATTAAGGCAATGTAACAGAGTGAAGAACGAAGTGAAGCGTGTAGCCCCCAAGACAGTATTGGTAATTAAGGCCGCCACATATTTAATTGAATTGTATTGGTAATTAAGGCCGCTATATAATTATTGAATTGCTATTGCTGTGACAATGACCGTTGACTGTTGTTCGTCGGCGCTGTTGCTTCCGAAGGAGCACGGCACATCTGAATCGCAAAGCCTGAGCCCTCACCAACCAAGCTCCTCTGCTCTAGTCGGTGTTGCCCCAGCCCCTAAACCCTAAACCCTGAACCCCTTTAATCCGTAAATCGAGACGTTAGGGAACGGCAAGCATCCCCTGGCCCAGCCCGCCTCATCCTCGTCCAAAGAGACCGTCCCCTGAGCTTGGTGCGCGGAACTTGGGAGTTCAGGCTCTGGGGCATTTCTCGAAAAGAATCTGGTGCTTTGGGGTTTGCTTGGAGGTTCATGGGTAGTTATAAGTGGGGGGTAGAAGTAGGGTCACCATAACTATAACCCATATTAGGGGACTTCAAGCCCCACTTATAGCTACCCATGAACCTCCAAGCAGTGTTTGGGGTGTCGGGTTTGTCCTTTAGGGACCTTTAGGGTTTAGGGTTTAGGCGGCGAAACTTTGTGTTTCAGCACTCCGGCTCCTTGAGGGCTCTGGATTCTGGGCCCTTGTGGGTGCAGGGCTTACAAGTGGGAGTTTCCGAAAATTAGGGGGACGATTCCTTATAATAAGGATCCTATTATTTAGCTTACCTAGACCTAAGAGTAACCTAGGAATAAAAAGGCTGCCCTTTTTGGTTTAAAAGTGGTTATAAGGGAACCCAAATCCCTAAAAAAGGGAATAAGGGCCTACTCCGGGTCCTAGTTACTATATTAGGGTCCCCTATTTTCGGAAACTAGCTGGCACAACCGCCCAAAGATCTGACCAAGACCAGGCCCCCTAAACCCCGAGAGCCCAATTAGGGTTTAGGGTTTAGGGTTTAGGGTTTAGGACCCCTTAATTAAGGAATATAGCGGGAATTATAATATGAGGCCCCTATAATTTAAGGTATGTTGCTTAATTAAGGGATATTGGGCTCTCTGGGGACTGTAATATTCTCTCATCTACTATGCTATCCTGTAGCACACTGTAATATAGCTGAATAATACTGCACTACAGTATTGTGCTATGTCACACTTCGCTATATCCCGCGGGATTCTACTGGTTCAGGATTTAGGGAGTTCGCCGCGCACAAAGATTAGCAGGGGCTTTTGGTCGTGGTTCCGAGTCCGACATTCCATGTTGAATTTAATTAGGGGCTTTAGTCACTGGAAGCCGGGCATGCCGTACATTACCCCCAGACCCCAATACCCCTTAATTAAGGAATATAGCGTAAATCATAATATGAAGCCCCTTTTAATTTAAGGTATATTGCTTAATTACGGGGTATTGGGCTCTCTGGGTACATTAAATGAAAGAACATTATTCAGTAATTGGGCTTCTGTATTCGTGCATGTCCGAAACGGTAGGGGGCAAGATGATGGCCCCACAACCCTAACCCGAAATCCTGAAACACCTCTGTATCCTGGATACTAAGCCCTTAAACCCTACAATCCTGTCACAGTAAATATCCCTAAACCTTAACCCTAAACCCCTCAACCCTAAACCCCGAAACTCCAAAACCCCAAAAGCCTAAATCCTAAATCAACGTGGAACCCCGAAACTTTCGGCCTGCGCCCACAAGGCTTTGCTGGCCCCGAGGACGCCGGACATCAGGACTGGGATCAGCGGCCCCGACTGACAGGAGCAGGACAAGGGCGGTGGAGGCTTCTTGCTGTTATTAGGGTTTAGGGTTTAGGGTTTAGGGTTTAGGGTTTAGGGTTTAGGGGTTTAGGGTTTAGGGGTTTAGGGTTTAGGGTTATTAGTCTTAGTGGTACTACTAGTAGTATTGTTAGCATTAAAAGAAGCTAGGTTCCATTCTTTACCATTACTGGCTCAATAGGCGTCTTGTCGGATGGTTTAAACTGGTGCAGGCTGTAGTGTTTGGGTTCAGGTTCAGGGTGTGGCGCTAACAGCTTCAGGCGTTTTTGGGTTAAGGGTACCTGCTTCGGGGCTTCAGCATGCCTGTGTGTACGCATGCACGCTTGTCCAGGATAGGACGATAATATAGGGGCCTTAATGATTAAAGTATGGTCTTGGGGCTCATTATACCATATTCATAATAAGGAGCCCCCAATGTTCCCTTGAAAGGAGCCCCCAAACTCACCGCGCCTGGGCCAACTCTTCGAATCCTGCCACGCAGTCTTCCGCCGCTTCACCGGCCTGGCCCCAAAAGTACTGCTGATGGACAAAATCCTGCATGACCCTAAGGACTCTAAACTATGGGAACTATGGTATATTGCTTATAATGGGTAATGCAGGATTTTGTCCATCAACAGTATGGCTATGATGTAGGGGCCTCAAATAGGGTTCCCTTAAAGTGCTCTATTTAAGGGTTACTATAAGGGATCTGTAAGGGGGCTTTGGGCTTAGGAGTTTCAGGGGCTGGTGGCTTCAGGGCTTAGGATTTACGGCGGTTTAGGGTGAAATCCCCACCAAGAGTAAGAATTTTGTGGGGTTTAAGGGTTTCGAGTGCAGGGGATTAGGGTTTAGGGTTTAGGCCTCCAAGGGCTGCGGGAAGAAGTCTCTTCAGGAAGATTAGGCTTCGTGCGGGCTTGAATGGGCTGAGTCTTGAAAGTCCGCTTTTGAAACAAAAAACAGCTATTTTGTGCGCAAGTGCCTTCACGGAATTGGTGCTAGTTCGCTGTAGCTGCAGCCACTGGCTCAGCTGCTGAAGCTTCGGACGGATTTCAGGTGGCGTTGATTGGCAAGGTTGCGAGTTCACAGGTCTAGCATCTGCCAAGGCTCGGCATCTTTCTGTGAGAAGAGTTGCAGGCTTGGGGCTCGTGGGTTTGGGCACTTCATCAGTTGGGAGGGAGGTCTGGGGGTTTAGGGTTTAGGGTTCGGGACGGGTGTCTTGTACCCCGCAAACCTAAGCCCTAACCCCTCCCTGAAGCTGAAGCACTCACCCCCACAAATCCTAAGGCCCCCTGGTTGTCTCGGAAGCCCCACACTCCGATCGCTGATACCCCCAAAGACGAACTGGGAGTTTCCAAAAACAGGGGATCCTACTATGGTACCCTAAATAGTACAACCCCTTTCTTCAGGAGCCCCAAACAAGGTACCCTTGGTTTTCGGAAACTCCAAAACCCTAAACCCTTTATAGAAGCCTTGTAGAGCCCTTGAAGGAGGCCTTATAGATAGTATCTGGGTCATAATTAGGGTAACTGTACTTATAACCCCGGTTCAGGTACTTATACCCCCACTTACTAAGTCCCACGATCCTCCTAATTTTCGGAACCCCTAGCCCTTATAGACCCCTTTTATGGCACCCTTATAGTACCCTTATAGTAGCCCTTTAGATGAACCCCTTTTAAGGCCCCTATAGATAACTAGGCTTACTAAGTCCCATGATCCTCCAAGTAGTCCCTAAACCCTAAACCCCTATAGATCCCTTCTAGAACCCTTTAAAAGGAGCCCCTTAAGGAACCCTTTAACTAACTAGGCCTGGACCGCCATCTGCTGCAGGAAAGGGCCCGTCTCATGCACCGCGTGCACGGAATGCGGATGCATGAAGACCTGGCAGATTTAGGGCTTGCAAGGGGTTAAAGGTTCTTATCCCTCAATTACGGAGTATACCTTTAGATTATAGTAGGATCCCTAATATGACTTAAAGACTATCCCTTAACTAAGGGATCTGCGTTTTTGGGGCTGTCGCTGTCGGATGCAGCCGGGATTTGACCCAAAAGCTTTTCGCGGCTGACGACTCGGAGGTTTCGGGTCTCTCCGAATGTGGGAGATCTAAGTGCCAGATGGGTAAAATCTGGGGGCCACAGTAGCAAGCACTTTAAGGTCATACACCCTAATCCCCTAAACCCTGAACCCCAAACCCTAAACCCCTAAACCCTGAACCCTTCTGGGAGGATACCCGTACTAATGTTGTTCCGACCTCTTTGTAAGACGGAGCCCTGGTCCTGGGCACTTCAACGCTTGGGTTTCGAGCCTTGCGGAGAGTTTAGGGTTTAGGGTTTCGGGCTTAGAGCTTTAGGGTTTAGGGCTTAGGCTTAGGGGGTGAATCTAAATTTCGGGTTCGCATCGAAAGATGTGGGCCCCTTTGACCTTTGGAGAGCGCCGACCTATTTTGGTTCAGGGTTTATGTGTACTCTGGATTTAGGCTTCGGGGCTTTGGGGTTTAGGGATCTGAGTATCCTGAGGATATACACTTTCCTTACTTATGCTTAAAAGATCATAGAACTTAGTACCTAGGGTTATTATTACGGTAACTATACTTATGACCCCAACTAGGGTACTTAAAACCTTACTTGCTATGTCCCATGATCCTCCCAGTAGACCCTAAACCCTAAACCCCTGTAGATCCCTTATAGAACCCCTTAAAAGGAGCCCCTTACTTAGTCCCTGGATCCTCGGAGTCCTTCTTGCAAGGGCTCACGCCCGCATGCGACTAGCTGGGGTCTCACGTCAGACCGACGCCAGGCCCCCAAACCCTGAGAGACTATGCCATCTCATAGTATAACAGATAATTAAATCTCATGTTATGCGACTATACGTTACAGCATATTACATCATATTGTACTTTAATGCATTCTATCCTTATAGATCATATTCTGTGATATTCGCCTGGTCTAGTGTAGCATAGTACAGCATATCAAAGTATCGTATCTAAGCAGCGCTGCCGAGCCACAACAGCCACCCCAGCAAGCAGCACCATCAAGTCGCTGAGGTCCGCGATGAGCTCCCCGCCCTCACCGAGATTTGGGTTTTGGGTTGAGGGTTCAGGGTTGAGGGCTCGTCTCACGAGCTTGGTTACGCTTGGCTGTGGAGTCGGAGCTGTTAGCTATTGGGTTTGGGGTTTAGGGTTTAGGGTGGAGGGTTCGGGGCTCCCGTGAATCCACATGTCAACTCATCTACCACGGCCTTTTGGTAAGCACTTGAAAACCGAAATCTAGGATTTTGGCATTCCTATTGGAACCCGGAAACCCTAAGCCCCAAACCCTGAAAAACCCCAACACCCCTAAACCCTAATCCTAAACCCTAAACCCTACATCCCAAACCTCTAAACCCTACACCCTACACCCAAAACCCCTGAACCCATGAAGTTCCTAGGCCCTACACCTGATTTAGAAACCTTGGGTTCTTATCAGGGCTCCTTCTATGAATCCTCATACGTCCTAATATATAGGGGTTAAAGGGCCAGGGTTTCTCAATCAGGTTCCTACATTAAACCCCTGAAGTTCCGAGACCCTACCTCATGCACGAAGTCTGCATCTGCGACGGCCTTGAAAACGCCTCAGCAGCGCTGAAAACTTCAATATCCAATAATTAAGGAATATACCTTAAAATTATAGCAGGATCCCTAATATGATTAAAGATTAAGGGATATTAGAGTCCCCTAAACCCTAAACCCCATAGATCCCTTATAGGACTCGATCTAAGGTATACGGTTGATGAGATAAATCCTGCATTACCCATAATAAGGAATATGCCATGATTCCCAGAGTTTAGGGTCATTAAGGTAATGCAGGATTTATATCATCAACCGTATCCCTCAATCCCCTAAACCCTAAACCCTATAGATCCCCTATGGGATCCCCTTAAAGGATCCCTCTAAAGGAGCCCCTGATTGGAGGTACATTCCTTAATTCAGTGATATTTTCAGCCTCTGGGCTGCTCAAAACTTCCAGTGCTTCGGACTGCCGGCTTTCTACGCTCAGAGAGCCCAAGACCCCTGAGTTAAGGACTGTGCCTTAAGTTCTAGGGGACTTCATATTACTTAGTTGCTGAGCTCATAAGCCCCAAAAAGTGCACACTGTCAGTTTTATAGTGGGTAATGTTATCCCAAGAAGTGTAAAGTGTATCCACTCAGCTACTAAGATTATGATGTAAAGTATATCTCTCTGGGCGGCTTCGCGGGGGCTCTATATAAGTTACTCTTCTTGGAGGATCGTGGGACTTAGTAAGTAAGGTTATAAGTACCTTAATTCGGGTTATAAGTATAGCTACCCTAATTATAACCCTAGTTACTCAGTCCCATGATCCTTTAAGTGGAGGTTGCTGCAGGGTGTGGGTTTTGGGCTTTCGGGTTTAGGTTGGGCTGGCTTTGGGGCTCTGGGGCTCTAACCCCACCTATAACTACCCATGAACCTCCAAGCAGGGTCTAGGGTTCAGGGATTTCTTAAACTGCCGTGCACCTTTGACTCCAAGCAATCGGGGTTTAGGTGTCCTGAGCCCTCGGAAAGCCTTGTCGGCCGGCCGAAGTCCCTTGCAAGCACACCTACGAATCCAAGGTCGAAGTAATCCCTGAAGTCCTAAGGCACCAGAGAGCCGCATGAAGCTATACTGTATACTATACGCCATATACTATTTACGATATACTATATACGATATACTATATCCGATACCAGACTATATCATAGGTATACATATGTATGTACATATATGTGTTCCTAAACCAACAAAACAGTGATCTCCGACTCAAGCCAGGTGGCTGTTGGCCTTGTTCATCGGATCGCCTGCAAAGGAAAGCAGAAAAATGATACTTGCGAGGGTCCGAGGTTTAAGGCTTAGGGTTTTAGGGTTTAGGGTTCTAGAGTTTAGGGTTTAGGGTTTAGGGTTTTAGGGTTTAGGGTTTTAGGGTTTGGGGTTTAGGGTTTAGGTTTAGGGTTAATGAGGGTTTAGGGTTTTAGGGTAAAGGTAAAGATACAGCAGTAATGCTAAAGCTGTATAAGTTGAACAACATTCTTCAAGTAGTCTTTAGTATGCAGACATTATGAGGGCAGGGTGGTAGCAAACATGAACGACGACCGTTGCGGAACTGCCAGCAATACCCATGACGACAGCGCTAACGACAGGAAGCGATGGGAACAATGGTAATTCGCTGCAAAAACAGATACAAAATAGTACGCGCATAACATTATACTAACAGCCATTATCGTTAAGCACGCGAAACACGCCATCGCAGTGACCGCAACAAACCAAGATGGTGACGGGTGCAATGGTTCGATTGACGATGACGATGATCCTAGCCATCATGGTCGTCAACCTCACCATCATCATGAGCATGACTAGTCGTTATCGTGGTAGCAGGGGGACGAGGAGTAGCAGGAGAACCAGCAGCAGGAGAGAAGGCACAAGGAGTTTGCAGCAGTAGCCTCGGCAGCGCAGCACTAGCGTCCGTGCTGACGGACATTACTCTTGTCACTGTCCTTGGCGTTCAACGTGTTGCTACTCCTGCCACTCGTCTTCTGAGTGCCAATCTGTAAGACACTCAGAGTAATACACCTGCAGCTTATCCTTATCTGTGGCTCTCAATATGCCCTTCTACGACCACCTAAACCCTAATCTTCCTAGGCCCTAAAACCCTAATCTTCCCAAGCCCTGCAACTCTACAACCCTAAAATTCCTAAACCCCTTATCGCTAAACCTCCTAAGCCCCATAAGCCACCCTGAACCCTCAACCCTAAACTCGAAAACCCTAAACGTCCTAAACTCCCTAAGCCCCATCAGCCACCTTACTATATTAGGGACTCAAGTAGGAACCCTTACTTTTGACAACTACCCACCTTGACCGGCGCAGATGCCCGAGATCGTCTCACAGACTTCTGCGGCTCGGCTCAACCCCGTTGCCTCGCAGACCTTGTCCTGGAGGACTAGGACTCGGAGGGTCACCAGAAGGGTTAGTCACTATAAGGGCTACTATTAGAGCTACTGTAAGAGCTACCATAATGGTTACAAGAGCTACTATAAGAGCTACTATAAGGGCTGCTATAAGGGCTACTATAATGGTTACTATAAGAGCTACTACAAGAGCTACTCTAAGGGCTACTATACCTTGTCCTGGAGGACTCGAAGGGTCACCAGTTTGGTTACAAGAAGAGTCACTATAGGGGCCACTATAAGGGTCGCTATAAGGGCTACTCTAACAGCTACTATAATGCTACTATAAGAGCTACAAAATGGTTACTGTAAGTGCTACTTTCAGGGCTGCTATAAGAGCTACTGTAAGGGTTATTGTAAGAGCTACTTAAGAGGTAGTTAAGGATATACGATTGCGCTAAGGGCTACTCTGAGGGTCACAGCAAGTTTTTGATCAGGATCCTCGTCCTTGAAGACTTTTGGCATTCATTGCACTTGCTTTACTCAACAGTTCGTGTGGGAAGTTCATGGGTAGTTGTATGTACGGTTGATAAGCAGGATAACTATAGTTATCGCCTACATTGTGGGACTTGTCACCCCACTTGTAACTACCCCCGACCCTCGGCTTCTGCACCTGGTCAGTATCTCGCAGATTTAGCACCTCATGCTTCACAACTGAAACTTCAATGAGGGTGACTATCAGTGTATCAGGGTTCCTACCCTATAAGGGCTACTAAAAGGGTCACTACTTGTGAGGATTTTCGTATGGATAAGGCTTACTATGAGGATTATATTACAATATCATATCATAATCTTTGCTATTATACCATACTGCACTATATTGTATTATACCATACTATACTTTACCACTCTTTATACTACATTAGAAACCTATGTGTAAAGAAATCCAAAGCCCAACCTTTCAGCTCCCAAGTTTGTTGCTCCTGCGCCCCGGAGATCGCTCGCGTGCACTGGTCCTGCCAGGGTCTTTGGATTCGTTCTTTAGAGGGTTTAGGGCTCCTTAAAGCGATCTGCAAGGATTTTACAGTCATCCTTATAAGGATTACGGAGGGTTTAGGTTTAGGGTTTTATAAAGGTTCCTTTAAAGGGTTCCCTCTCAAGGGGCCTATATAAGTTTAGGATTTAGGGGCTTAGGGGTTTGGGGCTTATGGTGTTTAGGGTTTAGGGCTCCTTAAAGGGATCTATAAGGATTACTATAAGGGTTACTAAAAGGGTTACTATAAGGGTTACTATAAGGGTTACTACAAGGGTTACTATAAGGGTTACTACAAGGATTACTACAAGGGTTACTATTAAGGGTTACTATCAGGGTTAACCAGTGGCCAAGCAGAAGCACATCGTATCCAGGAAGGCGGTTCCGCTGAAAGCCGAACACATCCACATTGCGAGAGTGCTGCCAACACGGTTTAGAGTTTAGGGCTTAGGGTTTAGAGTTTAGGGTGCTGTCAACACAAGGGGGCATCAACAAGATTGCCAAAAGTGCCTCGCTCTGCCGAACACAACTGAGGGTCGAAGCCTCCTGTGTCGGAGGCAGCAGGGTCCAACACGGACTGCCCGCAACGGTTGCATTCCCGGAAAGAGGAAGCCAGAGCCCATTCTTTGCGACTCCACAGCGGCAAAGCATGCGAGCTGGACAAAGCCGTAGCCTGTAAGGCGTGCCGCGTAGTCACATCCTGGGCTTGTTCTTGTGTCATGTCGCAGAGTATGCTGGGCGCTATTTCCCTAAGTGACACCAGGCAAGACACAGGCTCGCCTGCATCCCTTCTGGGATCGTAAGTGTCATCAGATTGACTGCTGTCCAAAGCATCTGGTGCAGTACATCCGCCCCACCTGGGTTTGTTGCACAAGCAACGAGCGCCGGAAAGGTGCTGCATGATACAGATGCACACAGAACCAATTTCCCAAGGGCAGGCCCCAAGCGCTCGTTGGCTACAAACGCCCCATATGGAGTCAGCATCAGGCCCTTAAATATCTTTCGAAACCCCGCAGTTGGTTTAGGGTTTAGGGGTTTATGGCTTAGGGCCTTAGGGGTTTAGGGTTTAGGGCTTAGGGTCTTAGGGTTTTTTGTTTCGGGTCTTGGGTTCATTTAAGGGTTTCCCCTTTTGAAGGGTACCAGCAGGATTTCTTTAAGGGATCTATAGGGATCAGGGTTTAAGGTGTAGGGTCTTAGGGTTAAGGGCTTAATTACGGTTTTCAGTTTGGGGATCCGTTCAAAGGGATCTACAAGACTTACTAAAAGGGTTACGAAAAGGCTTGAGGGTTTAGGGCTTCTGCTTTTTCGGTTTGGGGTTTCGGGTTTAGTTTTTTCAGCGCGTGGGGCTTGGGTTCAGGGTTTTAGGGTTCAGGGTGTCAGCTTTCGGGCTCTGCGCTGAAACTTGACGGGCTTCAGTGAGGGCCTCATACGATGATGGGTTCAGGGTTTACTTGGAGGATCATGGGACTTAGTACTTGCTTAAAGGGTTCCTTACGGGACTCCTGTTAGAGGGCTCTAGAAAGGATCTATAGGGGTTTAGGGTTCAGGGTGTACTTGGAGGATCATGGGACTTAGTAAGTAAGGTTATAGGTACAATAATTGCGGTTATAAGCATAGTTACCCTAAATATAACCCCAGTTACGAAGTCCCATGATCCTTGAAGTAGGGTTTAGGGTTTAGGTGCGATTTGATGCCACCAGCCCCAAACCTTCACGGTGAAACCATCTCGGGGAGCACACCGAGAAGGTACACAGGCTCTTCGCCGCTGCAAACAGACTATCAAGGTTCTCTAGAGCTCAGGATGACTGCAGGGTACGAAGGGCAACCATAACAGGTACCATCGAATCGATTTCCATCATGAGGGATACATAGGCAGTCTATTCAACACCTTGAAGAACTAAAGATTTGTTTGAAGGACTACGGGACTCATGCATAACCTTCTCAAGAAGTCCTCTGAACCCTCATCCCTAAGCCCATATAAAGCCAATATGACACCTGCAGAACCGTGTACGTAAACCTTGCATCTTCACCCCTGTAGAACTTATTATAATCCTCATCTGAGCCGCACAACTTCTCCCTTCTTTCGCCCTTGCCCAGCCCCCAAAACCCCAAACCCCAAACCCTGAAAATCTCTGCTGCGTCTTCACGCAAAGTTGGTGCGCCACGCCTCAATGCTTGGCTCCATTCCTTCCAAGAAGCGGTCGAGCTACCGAAGAAGAGGAAGCTGCGGCTCAGGGGCTTCAGGGTTTAGGGACTGCACCTTAGGTTCCATGGATATTTTGCGAAGCTTTAGGCCCCTTGCAAGTACAAGCTTATTGAACTCTGCGCCTCTGCTTGCCCAAACCAACCCTAAACCTAAACCCCAAATACCCTAAACCCCAAACCCTAAACCCTAAGCCCCAAACGCGAAGCCCCCGAGGTCCTACTAGCACTCAGCTAATCAAGGAATATACCTCAAACCATTATAATAAGGCCCCTATAATTTAAGGGATATTCCTTAATTACAGTAGAAGCCAGAAAGTTGGAAATCCAATGGCCTCAATCCTTAAGACAAATGTATAGGCAATCCCAGCACTGTTTTTGGCCTTAATCCGGTTTCCAACTTTCTGGGGTTTACTGTAAGGGGTATCGGGATCAGCTCCTTACCGAGAGTGAGGCGCTTTGTTCTCAATTATAAAGGTTCCTTTAAGGGATCTATAAAGGTTTCTTTAAGGGATCTATAAAGGTTCCTTTAAGGGATCTATAAAGGTTTCTTTAAGGGATCTATAAAGGTTCCTTTAAGGGATCTATAAAGGTTTCTTTAAGGGATCTACAAAGGTTTCTTTAAGGGATCTGTTTGGGCTGAGGGGTTTCAAGGCTTTCAGGGCTTTTAGCTGGTTAAGGTTTAGGGTTTACGAGTTTAAAGTTTCTGCTTTAAGTTTAGCGCCCCAAAAAGGTCCTGCCCAGATCTAACTAGGATACCCAGTAACCTAAGAATAAAAAGGCCTCTCTTTTTGGTATTGGGTAACTTTATAAGGAACCTAGGACTACAAAAAGGGAATAAGGGTACTACTGGGCATCCTAGCTAAAGAATCCCAGACCCTCACAAAGGGTTGATTCCAGTGTGTAGGTGGGCTGAGACAGATCACCCAAATGGTTGAAGGCTTTCTAGGGTTTTGGGTTCCCGTGAGTAGTTGGGTTAAGACGACAAGCTGTTGAAGACACCCCAATACCCCAAACCCCATCATCCCCAAACCCTAAACCCTAAACCCAAACCGTGATTTAGGTTCAGGATATCAGCTCCCATGCAGACGGGATGCCAACTGCACCGGACAGGTCCTCCACTGGTTCGTGGCTTCAGCTTCAGCAGTCGCTGAGCGCGAAGCTGCAAGCTCTCTAGGGTTTAGGGTTGGGGATTTGAGTTTTAGAGATTAGGGTTTATATAAAGTAGAGCTTTAAAGATTAATGTTTATATAAACTAGGGCTACAAGCATAGAAGTCTAGGGCTTGGGGCCTCATGAGTCTCGTATCCTAGTGGAACTACAGTTCATCGGAATATCCAGGGACTGCAAATACCCCACGAAGGTTCAAGGTTACCCACTTTCACTACTAAGGCAAGGGGTAGTTGAAGATTGCTCAAGTCCAGAATTCTGTTCTTCGAACCACTCCGGGCTTCCGGAACCTGTGGGCGCCTTGAATACATGGGTGTTTGTCAAAATTAGAGTCCCTCTTTGGATCCCTATTACAATACGGCAGCTATGAATTACGGTAACCAAGGACCACCCACATCGGTCACGGAAGGGTACTTGGAGGCCCTGTTGACTTAGTAAGTCTACTTAGTATCCCCTAGAAACCCTATTATAATCCCCATAACCCACCTTACTAACCCTACTTACTAAGTCAAAAGGGCCTCCAAGTAGGACAGAGATTCAGTGCTTTGGTTCGGGGCGTGGGGATTTAGTTTGTTCACCTGGGGGTTAGGCTTGGAGGTTAATGGGTAGTTATAAGGGCTCCTTTAAGGGTCCCTTTAAAGGGATCTATAGGGATTCTATAGGGGTAGAGGGTCTAGGGTCTACTTGGAGGTTCATGGGCAGCTATAAGTGGGCTTGAAAGTAGGGTCACCAGAATTATCACCCATATTAGGGGACTTATAAACCCACTCATAACTACCCATGAACCTCCACGTAGAGTTTACGGCTAATGGTTGGGGGCGTGTAGGGGTTTGTGTATCTGTGTGTTCGGGTTTGGGCCTTGGCCTCTACGGTCTAGTGGCTGAAGCTCTGAACCACACACTCTAATACAGGGGCCTTGAAATTTCTCAATAGAGTTTTGGGGCCCATTATACTACAATTATAATAAGGAGTTTCATCATAGTATAGATAATTATGAAGGCCTCCTTATTAGCCCTATTATAAAAAATGATAAGAAATTTCATCATAGCATTAGATAATTCTGAAGGCCTCCTTACTAGCCCTATCATAATGATAATAAGGAAATTCATCATGGTATTAAATAATTCTGAAGGCCTCCTTACTAGCCCTATTATAATGATAATAAGGAATTTCATCATAGTCTTAGATAATTCTGAAGGCCTCCTTACTAGCCCTACAATAATAATACTAATAATAATAATAATAAGGAATTTCATCACAGATTAAATAATTCTGAAGGCCTCCTTACTAGCCCTATTATAATAACAATAATGAGGAATTTCATCATAGTATTAGATAATTCTGAAGGCCTCTATATTAGCCCTAGCCGAGGGCCCGCGCCGGTGGCCAAGAAACCCTGACAAGGTGTCTCACGGATTTCTCTCTCTGAACTTACTCGGGCTTTAGGGTTTAGGGTTTAGGGTTCAGGGCTCGGGGTTTACGAGTTTGCCCGCTCCTCCTGCCGCAGAACAGGTGGTATGCCCGTCTCTGTCGCGTCATTCCTCGCTCTCGGGTTTAGGGCTAGTTAGGCGCAACGGCAACTTTAATCAGATTAGCAATCATATGTTATAATCCTCATAGAAAGCTCTGTTTCAATACATGCCTACACGCAACCTTAATCCAACTGAGCATTGACTGCAAAAATAAAACCTATAACCTGTCGGCGTTACCCCGAAACCTCAACAGGGCGGAAACTTAAGAGGACGAGGGCTTAAGGCTTAGGACGTAGGGTCCGGCTTAGGATTTGGGCTTTAGGGTTTAAGGTCTACTTCGGGATTTTGGACTTGGAAACTGAGGGACGGATTCAGCCATCAGGAGCCTGCCGGACCCCTTAACCACGGTTTAGGGTCGAGGGTTCCCTAAGCTGTTGAGGGTTTAGGGTTTAGGGTTTAGGGAAATCCCTAATCTCATTAAAGAAACACAAGACAAAATCCAAACCTTAAACCTGAGGTCAACGATGTGGGTGCTTCTGCTCGAAAGGTTCGGGAGCTGCGGTCCAAGGGTTTTTAGGCCTTACGGGTTAGGGTCCTAGGTTTAAGGATTAGGGTTTTCGTGGTTTAGGGTTTAGGATTCAGGGTGTAGGGTTTAGGGTAAACCCTAAACCAAGGCTTTCGATATCTTTCGCGTACGAAGCTTCCCTGGCCCTGAGAATGACCGAAGCTCGTCTCCCAAAACGCTGCAGCCTAGGGGCCTTTGGCGGAAGCTCCGTGCAGAACACAGGATCGGAGAATGCAAACAAAAGAGGAGACTAGCAAAAACATAATGAATAGAACAGAACAGAGCAAAATGGAGTAGAACGGAGTAGAATAGAACAGAACAGATCAGAATAGAGTAGAGCGGTGTAGAATAGAGTAGAGTAGAATAGAGGAGATTCTAGGAACCCACGTGCTTTCTGAAGCTCCCACATCCAGTGCCACCGAGTTGCATGGGAGACAAGAACTTGAGAAGGACAGCTATCCTTGCTTCTGCTTGGCTCTGAGGGGGGGGGTTCTGGCAGAGCCACGCAACCCACCAGATCAAAGGCTTCCCTGGGGAGCTTGGTTTAGAGCATAGGGTTTGGGGCTTAGGGTTTAGGGTTTAGGACTTGGGGCTTGGGGCTTAGGGTTTAGGGCTTAGGGCATCAACTCGCTCATGCAACAAAGTCGGGTGGGGTAGATTGCAAGCCAGGCAGGCTTCCAGACGAACAAGGGAGTCGGAAGACAGTTTAGGGTTAAGGGACATTTCCGTATAGTCCGATGATTATCACCTAGCTTCACAGACCCTGCTCTAATCATTCTAAGTTATGACCCTTGCCTTACCAGGCTTTTGGCTCTACCGAAGCACAGGAAACCGTACAATGATACATACCTGTGAGACTCGTCGGGAACTCTGGTTACTGGGAGGTTCATGGGTAGTTATAAGTAGGGTTATAAGTAGGCTCACTATACTTATAACCCATATTAGGGGACATATAAGCCCACTTACAACTACCCATGAACCTTCAAGTGTAACCCTTCTATGCAACCCTCTGGAGTTCTTTACGCTGTTGGGTCCTGCGTTCTGTGGGGTTAGGGTTTTGGGATGCTTTAGGGCTTTAACTTTTTTGGCTTACATCTTCGGGCTTTAGGGTTTAGGGTCTGGCCGTTCAATATCTGTGAACAACTGGCAGCTACTTGAAACCCTCACGATCCAAATCCTGAACCGGGTTTAGGTTTTGGATTTCGGGCGCCCTGAACCCCTAAACCCTAAACCCCCCCTGAGCCTGTTCGGGGTGTTCGTGTTCTCCAAAGGCCGAAAGCAAGACCCAGGACCCAAAGTAAGAAAGAAACTATCGGCCAGCAGGTTTTCAAAGGGCTTAAGGTTTCGGGTTAAGCCTTAAACCCTCAACCTTAAACCCTAAATCCTAAGCCCTCAACCCTAAACCCTAAATCCTAAGCCCTCAACCCTAAACCGTTCGAAGGCTTCACTTTACAAAGCTTGAGGCTGACATCAGCCGGAGCAGCTCGGAAAGAGGGAGTTGTATGCCGAAATTCTGCAACGCCTCGGATGAGTTGTTTAGGGTTTAATTTTTGGGGCCTGAATAAGTAGAATACGGTGTTGGTGTATTCTGTACTATACCTACAGTAAGGAACCCCAAAAATAGCACTGGCTAGTGTTTCGGCCCCTACATCAAGCCTTCTCTGGCCCTACCTGAGCTTTTCCTCGTCCCTGTTCTCTTCAAGTCCGGAGCAGGGTTCCCAGACCCCCGCAAAATCCAAAAAGTAGATCCCTTAATGGGGATTCCTATAAAGTACCCTTAGTAGTATAGGGCCCCACATTAGGTGATCTACTTTCTAGATCCTCCCGGGGGTCCGGGTTTAGGGCTTACTGCAACTGCGGCTGCGACGACTGCGAGGTTTCCGGCATGATACTTAAAGGATCATGGGACTTAGTAACTAGGGTTATAATTAAGGTAACTTACTAAGTCCCATGATCCTCCAAGTAAGTCTGAAAAGTCCCACAGAAGGCAAAAAACCTGCCGGAACAAGCTGCTGTTTTTCAGGACTTTCCAGTTTGGAAAATTTGAATCACGCTATTTTGAAACTTTCCTAATAAGGATCCTATTATTTATGGTACTATACTAGGGTCCCCAAGATTCGAAATTTTCGGGAGGATTGGGCCCTAGGGCCGCGGCTTCTGTCTCGTTCCGAGCCAGTGGGCTCGCTGTCAACTCAGGGCATCCATGTAGGCACAGGGCTTTGGGGTTATAGTCTTCTACAGTTATAATGAGGAACCTTTGGGTTTTGGTGAGGAACTCTTTTCATGTTGTACTCCAAAAAAGTTATAGTAAGGAACCCTTTTGGTGTTATATTCGAATATAGTTCTAGTAAGGAACAATTTTGGTGTTATATTCTACTGTAGCTTTAGTAAGGAACACTGAAGGAATTATAGTATGGGTAAAGTCTTAAGGCCTTAAACGCCAAATCTTAAGCCCTAAACTCGAAACCTGGGCCCCTAAAACCTAAACCCCATGTTTGGAATTCAAAGGGTTCAGGGTTGAAGGATAAAGAATTCAGGCACAAAAAGCCCCAGATCTTTTCATTGAATCTTACCGGAGCGCCAGACCTACTACTAAAATTCGATACTCCCACCACAGATGCCAAACCCCAGAACCCTAAACCCCAAAACCCTAAACCCTAAACCCCAACACCTGGGCTCCAAACCCCAAAACCCTAAACCCCAAACCCCAAAACCCAAACCCTTAAAGAACCCTTACGGGCCACACCACGAGCCCGACCCTGGCTTTGAAACAGGTGGCTGCTGCAAACTCGTGCGGCGCGATGCATCCTATCAGGGGCTTTAGGACTGCAGAATTCGGGGGGGTAGCAAAACGTATCAGCTCACAGAAATGGATCTGGACGATACGGGGGTCAGGTCGGGAGAAACGGGTCAGGAAACGCACGAAAAGGAGGATGAATGCGGTGCCTGGTCGGAGCACTGTATCGGCTCAAGTGTTGACTGCATGAAGTTCTCATGCTGGCCGTGTGGGATCATTTCGGGGTGTCTCAGTATCTACATGCAGATGACGAAGGCAGGGGTTTTGGATGACTCCTGGTGTATGTCACCCCCTGCTTGGTCTTGGATGAGTCCTGTTGTGTGACAAGCCTTCCTGGGTCTTGGATGAGCCCTGTTCTATGCCACGGTTGCCCATGTCTTGGATGGGTCGCATGTCACCTCCTCCTTGGTCTTGGATAAGTCCTGCTGTATGTCACGCCCTCCCCAGTCTTGGACGACTCCTGTTGTATGTCACGCCCCCCTGGACTTGGATGCCGTGCCCTCCTTGGTCTTGGATGAAGGCTGTTGTATGTCACGCCCCGTGAGGTATGTCACGCCCTCCTTGATGTTGGATGAGTCATGTTGCATGTCACCACACCTCGGTCTTACATAAATTCTGCTGTATGTCACACCACCCTCAGTCTTGGATAAGTCCTGTTGTATGTCACTCCGTCCTTGATCTTGCATAAGCTCTTTTGCATATCACCCGCCCACCTCAGTCTTGGATGAGTCCTGTTGTATGTCACCTTCCCTCAGTCTTGGATGAGTCCTGGTGCATGTCACGAGCTCGATGCTCAGCTGCTGAGCAGTGTGGTGGTAAGAAGCCGAGCAGCCCAGGGCGGAAAGGCAGCAGCAAAGCGGGAAGCATCGGCTGTGTGGCTTTGTAAAGAGTGTAAGACGTGAAGAGCAAGAAGTCTGAACACGATGCTTTTGAGCCGATTGGCCCTAGGCTTTGTTCCCCTGGACCTTATCTCTGCCTCATGTGATATTACCTTAGTGACCCCAGAGTCTGGGAAGTACCGTATAGTCCTCATTATGTGTAATGCAAGAGTTTCCTTTTCTAAACCCTAAACTCCTAAACCCTAAACCATCAACCGCAGCTCCCATCCAGTGATCCGACTCGATGAGCTTCGGGGTTGGGGGTTTAGAGCTCGATCAGGTAGAGCACATTGCTTTCGGTATGAAGGGTTTAGGGCTTTGGGTTAGGGATCACGGAACCTCGTAGTGGCTGTCTGAAACTTTGCACAGGCTTTGGGAAAGATGCTGCCAGAGTTCGTAAGGTTTACCAGTTTAACAAGCTCGCACCACGAGCTTGACAGGCTCTTCGCACCCTTGGACCGCAAAACAGTACGTCCTAAATCCTTAGACCCCAAACCCCAAACTCCTAAACCCTGAACAACTGAAAGTTTCCACAAACCCAACTCAACAAACACCTTCAAGCTTTGAAACTCCTGTGCTGCAAGTTGCTGCAAGGCCACAAACCCCGCCTAAACCCTAAACCCAATCAACCCTAAAGATACCTTAAGGGAACCCTGAAAGTACTCCGTGAAGGAACCCTTGTAGTACACTTCAAAGGAACCCTGAGAGTACCCTAAACCTTAAACCCATAAACCCTATAGATCCCTTAAAGGAACCCTTATAGTACTCTGTAAAGGAACCCTTGTAGTACCCTTTAAAGGAACCTCTATAGTACCCTAAACCCTAAAGAAACCCCCCCGGTCCGTCAGCATCGAGGTCGAATCGCTGAAATGCTGTGACCATGACCACACCTGAGCAAAACACATGAGGGGCTCAGGGGTGCCGGAATGTAGGGTGTAGGGTTCAGGGTGCTCTAGGGGTTCTTTTACAGGGTACTATAAGGGTTCCATCAGAGAGTACTCTAAGGGTTCCGGAATTTAAGGTTTAGGGTCTAGGGTTGGGGGATTTTGGGCCGAGCGGGTTTTTAGGGTCAAGGCCGACCGTGGTGAGGGCAAGCGACGATTGCGATGGCCAGGGGTGAGGATGAAAGTGATGAACACTCTGCTAGGGTTTAGGGTTTAGGGATTAGCGTTGCTTTGATGACAATGACAAGATGAGGAGGAGCAGGAGGAGGAGGTGGCGGAGGGGGAGGAGGAAGGTGATGATGAGAGGAACCTGAGGCCACAGATGACGAGTGTAGCTAGTGAAAGAGTTGATGCGGTAAGCTGCAGGCGTAATGCAACAAGACACAAGCACAACCGGCATGACCTCATGGAAACTAGGATTCGTTGAACTCAACTGTTGCTCGCTAATCCTGCTCTCAGTATGACATGGGCGGAATCATCTGGAATCGCATGACAGTGTCAAGCAAATCTGAAGGCTATTGGGTCCGCATTCTCAGCATATAGCCGATGCGTGCAGTCGCGAAAGGAGCAAGGTACTGTGCTTTTGCTGTCACCGCAGCAGCTACAAGAGGAAGCACACGCACTTTGGTGGACGGTGGGGTACAGTGCACCCCAGAACTATGCAGCTGCAGGCCCCTCTAAGCCTCCGGGACTGATTGTGACTCTACAAAACCCTCACGCCTGGCACCCCATCATCTAGACACACTTTCTCCAAACTCCCATCTGAGACTCAAAACTTGAAAGAAGCCCTCAAACCTCAAGCCAAAAAAAAAAGTGGCAAATAAACAGCAATACTTAACAAAGAAACCTTAAAGATTACGTAACCCTATGACGGCACCATGATATGCAAACCCCTCTTGGAAACCTCAACCCTGAGGAAAAAACACTAAAAAAACTAAAGTACTTCACTTTGAAACCTGAAAGATTCTGGAAGCCTATGATTCACAAACCCCTCTTGGACTCCCTAAGATCGCAGAGGGACGCAGCTGTCGAAGCGACAGCTGCTCCGATGCACGGCTCACAGCTTGCAGCAGACTGAACAAGGTGGCCTCGGGTGCGTGTTGGGTTTCGCAGGGTTTTGCTGTGGCTCCTTGTAGGGGTTTCTCTAAGATCCCAAACTCTAAACCCGGATCCTTAATGAGGACGTCCCCCGAAACCCTTGACCCCGAACCCTCAACACTAAAGCCCAAACCCTAAACCCCCAAAGCCCAAAGCCCCAACCCCACACTTCCCTATAGGGCGAGCTTACAGCAGCTTCGTCGTCCTCCACTGTACTAGCAGGCCCCTCGAGGTTTCCTGAGGGTTTAGGGTTTAGGGTTTGAGGTTGGGGTTCTAGGGTTTAAGGTTTAGGATTTGAGGTTTGGGTTTTAGGGTTTAGGGTTAAGGCTTTTAGGATTTAGGGTTTGAGGTTTGGGTTTTAGGGTTTAGGGTTTAGGCTCATCAGGGCTCTCATCGAAGTTTTATGGAAGCGGCGCACAACAGAACTATAAAGCCCCTAGCCCAAACCAAACCTCGAGCGCCCCAAATTCTCGACGCTCACCTAGGGGAGTGCAAAAGTATACTTGGAGGTTCATGGGTAGTTCTAAGTGTGGTTAGAAGTAGGGTAACCCCATAATCAACACCCATATTAGTGGACTCGTAAACCCACTCAGAACTACCCTAAGCCCTAAACCCTATAGACCCCTTAAAGGAACCCTAAACCCATAATAGCCCCACTTAGAACTACCCATGAACCTCCAAGTATCCTTTTAAGGGTTTGAGGCTCGAGGATTCTAGGATGCCCCATCCTAGACCTGCAGCCCCTCAACCCCTAAACCTGTCAACCCCTAGGACTAGGGTTTAGGGTTTAGCACGAAACCCCTCAACCCTTGCACAACCCTAAACCCTAAACCGTCAACCCCAAACCCCAAACCCTAAAACCCTAAACCCTAAACCCGAAACCCTAAACCCCACACCCTAAAACCCTAAACCGTCAACCCCACACCCTAAAACCCTAAAACCCTAAACCCTAAACCCCACACCCTAAAACCCTAAACCGTCAACCCTAAACCCTAAAACCCTAAACCCGAAACCCTCAAGCCCCTCAAGGCCCTAAAGGCCCCCAAGGGAACCAAGGCGCCGTGAAATGCGGCCGCTCAATCTTCCCGTCCTTGCTCAGCATCTTTCGCAGGCTGGCGACGTCGTTTGCCTCGGCAGCTTGTCATCTGGGAGTTTAGGGACTTAGGGCTTATAAGGGTTTAGGGTTCAGGAGCTTAGGGGTTTAGGGGTTTGAGGTTTAAGGGTTTAGGGTTCAGAGTTTTAGGGTCTAGGTTTAGGGTGAGGTCTTGAGCCTAGAGCTCTCAAGTCTTGAGGCATTTCATGGCTCGGGGCTTCTAGGTAGTATTATTAGGGAGACCCCTTAAAGGGTACCCCTTCTGAACCCTACTTCTGGCTCTCTTAAAAGGAGCCTTATTGAGAGGGTCTATATCCCCAAGGGTCCCCTTAATCCTAACTCCCAGCTTCTAGGATGCAGGGCTAGGATTCCTGGGCATCGGGTTGCTTCCGAGCTTAGCTCTTGGGGTTTGGGACGGGGAGCTTGGAAGGGCGTAAGGCTCAGGCTACTTAAAGGATCATGGGACATAGTAACCAGGGTTAGAATTAGGGTAACTATACCTATAACCCCAATTAAGGTACATCAAACCTTACCCACGAAGTCCCATGATCCTCCAAGTAGTGGCCCTAGCCTCCCATGCCCCAAGATTTTGAGCGCTCGGGGTTGAAAGGAGGCTTCCGGACTTTCGTCCTCAAACACTCAGGTCTCGAAGGCTCTGGAAAAACCGAGGTGCCGGTGGCGCTGAAGCTGCAATAGCCAAAAATTACCAAATGTGGGATCTCTAAACCCCAAAACTCGAGCAAGCCAACCCGAAACCCGAACTTTAAAATTTAAAATCACTAAAACCCTCAAAGCCCGAACCAAAGCTTGGGGGCCGAGAAGCACGGCCACCAGAATTCATGAATACTGGTGGCGGCTTGGTCACAACGTTAATAATGCTAGGATGTAGGGTGGGTAGTTGCTTGGGGTGCGTAGGGTTCAGGGTGCTTAGGGTCGGAGTGCTACGGCTGAGGTTGCTAAACGTGTAGTAAGGGTTTTGGGCCCAGAACCCAAATCCAGACCCTGAAGTCTCACAGTTCCCGGGCCACAGCCGCACAGGGTCCGTGCCGAGGGGCCGAAAAACCAACCTGCTCCGAGGCGACCACTCCGAATTTTCATGCAGTTTTGGGTGATGTTTTGTTTTTCTTACATTGCAACTATAAGAGTTGCAAACAGGTTTTGGGATGTGCTGTAGAGACTTCACCCCAGACCTCCCCACCCCGAGAAAAAGGCATGTAAAGCCCTAAAGCATTCAAAACAAAATAACGCCCTACAACGGTGCGGCACGTAGTACCCCAAAGCTCCTAAACTTCCTAAACCACCTAAGACCCCGAAACCCCTCTGAAGCATTCAACACGTCCCCCCAAACAAACAAAAAACAAGCACTGAAACCCCCCCTACACCCTGAACCCTGAACCCCAAACCCTGAAACCTTGAGCTTCACCTGTTGTGGCCTTCCGTCCCCAGGGCGGAACCGAATTAAGAGTACTTAAAGGCTCCTGGGACTTAGTAACTATAGGGTTGTAATTAAGGTAACTATACTTATAACCCCAAGTAAGGTACTTATAACCTTACTTACTAAGTCCCATGATCCTCCATTATAGAACCCTCATAGATCCCTTTAAGGATCCCTTTAAGGAGCCCTATAGTACCCTTAAAGGAACTACTAAGTCCCATGATCCTCCAAGTACCCTGGGTCCTGAGAGTAGAGGATCCTGCTGAGTCAGGCCTAGGAGTCGAATGGTCTACAGTATGGGGGTTCCTTTAAAGGGGATCTATAAGGGTTCCTTAAAGGGATCTATGAGGGTTCTATAAAGGGTTTAGGGTTTGGGAGTTTCCGAAAATTAGGGGTACCTTATTTTGGGGGTCCTTATAATAAGGATCCTACTATTTCGGTGCTATATCAGGGTCCCCTATTTTCGGAAACTCCCATATAGGCTTAGGCTTCGCGTGTTTAGGATGGGCTTAGGCGTTTAGTGTTTCGGAGGGGTTTAAGTCGGGCTTCTTGAAATGAGACGTCACTTGCTATGGTCTAAGGTGCAAGTCGTTTAGGGTTTGCTTAGGGTTTGGGGTTTGGGAAGGGTTGGGTTGCTAGGAGAAGGATCCAACAGCTCAGGCTTGTGTTGCGACAAAAAAGGTAGGTAGGTAGGTAGGTAGGGACCGACCCACGGTAGTTACCGCCGTCTCCTCACTCTGCCCCCCTCCGTATCTCCGGGTAGCCTCCGAAAACGTCATGGGCCCCCTCCACGAAAGGCAAGGAGGTCCGACCCAAATACCCCGAGCCTGCACGTTTGGGCTTGCAGGCTGACATACAACCAATGCAAAGATGTCCTGATAATGCGGTCTGAGATGCCTCAGGCTTCGTTTTTGAGGCGGCTCAACAGTTCCCATCTGGGCGCCAGCTCCAGCCAGTCCGCTTCTGGCGTACTGGACATCTGCGGAGGCATGAACTCCGGCCGGAGTTCGACTACTGGGTCGTGTACCGGAGTTTCTTCCTCGCCGCACTCCTGCGGAGGCCTTGTCCGTTTTTTGGCCGCTGCAGGTTCTTGAAGGTGAAGCTCTTCTTCGAGCGACAAAAACTTTCTGAAACTGGCAGATGATGGATTTAGGGCCACGAAGTGGTGGTTGACACAAGCTCTTAGTTGCTGAGTTCCTAAGCCCCAAAAAGTGTACACTTTCAGTTTTATAGAATGCAAAGCCAACGCCTAAACCCTAGACCCCAAACAGCTAAACCCTGACCCTAAACCCCCAAACACCTAAAGGCTAAACCCTAAACCCTAAACGCGGTTTTGGGCTTAGGGGAACAGGCTCGGGAGTTCTGGGAAACACAAGGGCTCGAGGGTGCTTTGGGTGTGACGTCCTAGGTGCCTCCTCGCCTGCAGCTTTTGGAAGTTCTTGTGTGTTGCGGGCTATTGAAGGGGAAGTTTCGAGTTCAAGGTACAGGTAAAGAACAGCCCCTGAGGCTGCAACCCCCAAAACCGCATGTTCCGCTTCGGTTTCGCCTGGTACTTCTCATTCAAAACCAGGATGACCTGACCAGCTCAAGCTTCAGTCAGGCCGAGAGGGCATTTCGGCTTTCTGGCTTCACTGCGCCCTGGGCCTTCGACCTTTAAACCCGTAAACCAAAACCCTGCACACCGAAACCCCTAAACCCCTAGCAACAAAACCCAAAATCCTGAACACCTAAACCCCTAATCCCCTAGCAACTAAACCCCTACACCTAAACCCTAAACCCCTAAAACTCGAACAGCTAAACCCAAAACCGTCTGCACCTTAACCCTATACCCGAAACCACTGACAACTAAACCCAAAACCCTCACACCTAAACCCAAACCTGAAAACCCCTAACAACTAAACCCAAAACCCTCTACACCTAAGCCCTAAACTCTAAAACCCTTCCAGGGTCTTGGGTTGAACCCTAAACGTTAAACCCCTAAACCCCTAAACCCAAAATCCCGAATACCTAAACTCGACACACTTTCGGGTTCATTCAGGGGGAGCCAAGTCTCGGCTGAGTAGGGCTTCGGGGTCTCGGGGTTTAGGAACTGGGGGTTTCCAAAAAACAGGGGTACCTTATTTTGGGGGGTCCTTATAATAAGGATCCTACTAGTTCGGTACTATATCAGGGTCCCCTATTTTCGGAAACTCCCAACTAAGGCGCACCGAAAAGCCTAAACCCTGAACCCACCACCCATCAACCCTCAACCCTAAACCCCTAAACCCTTCACCCCAAAACCCGAAAACACCACAGAACTCAAAACTCCGAACACGCAGAACTCCTAAAACCCACCTATGGAACCCTATTCCCCAAACCTGTGCACTAAACCCCTACACCCCCGCACCTTCGAACCGAAAGACCACTTCGACCCTTATGACAACCCCATAAACTCGTTCTGAAAACCGTTATATAATCCCCGACTTACAACCAACAAACAACTCATGAATCCCTTCAAACCGGTAAAACCCCCATGCCGAACAAGAACGAAAAGACAGATCAAACCCCGCAAAAGCGAAACTAAACGTGGGACCCCCTAGCGCGGTGGGCCTTTTCCAGCGTCCGCTGGTCATCCTTCAGGCAGTCACCTTACAGGATCATAGTTTGAACCATGTTCTTTAGGGCTTTAGGGGGTGTAGGAGTCGAGGGGTTTAGGGGTGCAGGGTTTAAGGCTTTAGGGTTTGGGGATTTACCGGAGCGGTGTTTTGACAGTTTTCGTAGTATGCCCATATGGGACTATACGGGCACAGTCTTACTGAATATTCAGACCTATGTCTATGTGCTGCGGTTTCGGGTTTCGGGTTGATAAGGGTTCAAGGCTAATGTACGATTTTTGTGCTGCAAACTTATACTTGGAGGATCATGGGACTTAGTAAGTAAGGTTCTAAGTACCTTAATTGGGGTTATAAGTATAGTTACCCTGATTATAACCCTAGTTACTAAGTCCCATGATCCTTTAAGTAGTGCTTCACGGCTTTGAGGCTTCCGGATTAGGTCTGGAACTCGACTCCTTTGAGGCAGACGCGGTCCGGCTGTGTCAAGTCAGGATAGTCCCAGCTTGTCTGCACCATACTTGGAGGATCATGGGACTTAGTACGTAAGGTTATAAGTACCCTAATTGGGGTTGTCAGTCCAGTTACCAAAATTATGAGCCTAAATCTCGACACCAGCCCCCCCTTATTCGGCAACCGCCGAAAGAGAAAGCCTCCGGGTCGGGATTTGGGGAGGACGCATGTGAAGTGGGTTGAGGGGCCTCAACACTTAGAATAGGTTTGGGGATATATTATATCATAATTATAATAAGGAGCCCCACAAAATAGTATAGGTAATCATTAAGACGACCCCTATACCCTAGAACCCTACCCCTTATAAACCCCTTTCAGGAACCCTATGAAGGAGCCCATAGGTAACTATCAAGGCTCCCGTAGCAATCCTCAACCGCCTCAGAGACGGAAGCCTTCGAGCTGACCCTTATCAAAGGGGAAAAGGAGGGACCCTTAATGGGGACCCCTACCCTATAATGGGCCATATTCTGGGTATATAATAGGGTATATACCTAGGGGTCCTTGTTAAGGGTCCCTCCCTTTTCCCCTTGGACCTCCGACTCCAGAGCCTCCACATCCCTACTTGGAGGGTTCATGGGTAGTTCTACGTGGGTGGTTGTCCCTTTTTGGGGTCCCTATTATTATTTAGGGTACCCAAAAGGGACCTTAATTTTGACAACATCCCTACTTGGAGGGTTCATGGGTTTTTATAATGTGAGTTTAGAGGGGTTGAGGCTTTAGGGTTTAGGATTTAGGGGTTCCTTTAAGGGTTCTATAGGGTTTAGGGACTACGGTAGTTATAACCCCACGTATTCCTACTTGTGGGATATCATGGAGAACTAGAGGTTAACTTTTTGGTTATATAGGGAGTATATGGGAGGATACTACCCGAAAAAGGTTAAAGGTTACCTACTCTACTACTAGGTAGTTATAAGTGGGTTTGGAAGGGTTTAGGGTTCCTTTGGGTTCCTTTAAGGGTTCTATAGGGTTTAGGGATGAGGGTAGCTATATGTGGCGTTTATAAGCAAGCCTTGTACCCAAAGAAAAACTGTCTGGTGCTTCGTACGGAATGAGGAATGGTAGCCCTATATAATCCCCAAGAATCGTCTCCAACATCCATTCCCCCACTAAGCTCCAGGGACCAAAGCTCAGCACCTAGTCCCATAACCCCCCAGCCCCAGACCCTAGAGCCGCCGCTCCAAACCCTAAAACCCTACAACCCGAACACCCTAACACCCTGAAACCCTGAAACCCTAAAACCCTAAAACCCTGAAACCCCGAAACCCTGAAACCCTAAAACCCCAAAGTCCTAAAGCTCTAAAGCCCTAAAGCCTTAAAGCCCCAGGCCAAGCGGCCTCCTTTGCACTGATCAAAAATTTCGGACAGCCCTTCGAGCGATGGCTGGCCTCCTGATGAGGCTACCGACCTCCCAGAGGCTGGGGTTTACTTGGAGGATCATGGGACTTAGTAAGTAAGGTTATAAGTACCTTAATTGGGGTTATAAGTATAGTTACTCTAAATATAACCCTGGTTAAGTCCCATGATCCTTTAAGTAGGGGTTCAGGGTTTAGAGGTGTTGGGTCTGGTTTAGGGGTTTAGGGGTTTAGGGGCTTAGGGTTTAGGGTTCAGGGTTTAGGGGCTTAGGGTTTAAGGGTTTAGGGTTCAGGGGTTTAGGGCGTAGGGGTCTAGCGGCTTAGCGGGATCCTGTAAAATCCTACCTTTTCAAGGATATGCACGTACGTATGTATGTATGAAAACAGATAGACACATGTATGTAGATGTATATGTGTATGTATACGAAGACATCTCAGGCTTAAGGACTTTAGGAAATCCACCCCCTTCCTGCTGCCGCGCGACCCCGCAGCTTTTGCACCCTTTTGGTCGAAGGAGTCCGTAGCAAACCCTTGCATCCCTGGGCTGGCTGCAAGGTTGGAGGCTGAGCGCAAAGGTGTTGGGGGTTTAGAAGACATTTGGAGTTTCAGAGAGGATTGAAGGTGTCTGGCGCTCTATGACCCTTGTTCCTGTTCATCACAGAAACTGCGAAGCTTGCCACCCACGGCATTTTAGATTCACTTATCACTCTGTGGCTCACTGCAACGACTCTTATTATGGCTCTCATCATCGTCGGCATCATCAGCAGCATCACCATGGTGCTTGCTGATATTACCAACCACCAACCTTATCATCCCCTTCCTCTGGAGAGTACCACATACTGAGATTACTGCGAGGTGCAACCGCACCAGCTACAGCTCCACAGCTGGACCTGTAGCACAAAACCACCCATACCCCACTCATGTCATGTAGGGGCACTAACAAACTGTAATTAGAATAAGATTCTGAAAATCCCTTATTACAACCATGGTATAGTTTACCCCCAAACCGTATTCTGACTACTAAGGCCCCTATACTACACTGACAAAATCCGAAGCCCGAGGACCCCATGTGCAGAACCCTCAGGCCTCTGACCTGCACTAGGATCCTCCAGGCAGAAGCCAAACTTCCACCCAACAAGTGGAGTTGGGTTTAGGTTCTACTTAAAGGATCATGGGACTTAGTAACTAGGGTTATAATTAGGGTAACTATACTTATAACCCCAATTAAGGTACTTATAACCTTACTTACTAAGTCCCATGATCCTCCAAGTAGGGTGGTGTCGGGTCCAAGGTTTAGGGTTTCACGTTTAGGATTTAGGGCTTAGGGACATGTGAGGTTTCGGGCACTTGAAACTTTGAAGCTCAGGCAGCACTTGGAGGATCGTGGGACTTAGTAAGTAAGGTTATAAGTACCTTAATTGGGGTTATAAGTATAGTTACTCTCATTATAACCCTAGTTACTAAGTCCCATGATCCTTTAAGTATGGTCCACAAAGATGGCGGGTGCAGACGCCGAGTCTCCTGGCTTTACCCAAAAAACAAGCTGATACCAATAGGGCCATGGAGGAGTCACCCTAAACTACTAAACCCTAAACCCTTAAACCCTGACCCTTAAACCCCTAAACCCTAAACCCCTAAACACTAAACCCTAAACCCTTAAACCCTTAACCCTAAACCAACCCTTAAAAGCAACCTGAATCCCAATACCTTCAGCCCAAAGTCCCAAACCCTGAAACCTGAAACTCTAAACTAATACAAACTCCAACTCCAAAGCCCCTAAACCCGGCTTAGGGTTTAGTGTTTAGGGTTTGGGGTTTAGGGGTTTAGGGTTTAGGGTTCCAAAGCCCGAACTGGGCAACCTAAGGTTTGGGGAGAAGAGGGGTTTATGGATTTAGGGGTTTAGGGTTTAGGGTTGAGGGTTTAGGGTGCAGGGTTCAGGGTTTAGGGTTTAGGGTTGGTTTTTGTGTGGGGCAGGGTTGGGGTTGGGGTATGGGGTTAACGCTTGAGGCTACCGGACATGAGGCGTTGACGCTTTCGTATGTCAGGGGCTGTGGGATATCACCCTACCTCTCAACCCTACACCTGGGTGGTTGTCAAAATTATGGTCCCTTTTTGGGTCCCTATTAAAAATACGGCACCTAATATTTAGGGTACCCAAAAAAAGGCCATAATTTTGACAACTGCCCACCTCAAACCTCAAAACATGAACCTTAAGAGGTTCCTAGTTGTGCTCCTTCCCAGTACCCAGCATTGCACCCATTTCAACCCTATCTTAACCCCTAAACCCTAAACCCTAAGCACCATGCAAGCCTAAACCCCTAAACCCTAAACCCCCAAACCCCCAAGCCCTATTGAAACACCACCAAACCCGCAAAACCCCTAAACCCTAAGGCCCATTAAACACCATGACACCCCAAATAACCCTAATACCCCCTAACTTATAACCCTTAAGAACCCTCATAAAACACGTGTAACCCTTATAAAACCCCCTATAAGCCCAATAAAAACCCTGATGCCCAGGCGTTTCAGACACCCCAAATAACCCTAATAACCCCTCTAACCCTTAAGAACCCAAATAAAACCGTATAAAAACCCCTATAAGCCCAATAAAAACCCTAAGACTTCCTCCCAAGGCGCGTCTCTCCAGTAGCGTCCGAGAACAGACTCTGGCAGCTGCGCATCTCGGCAGAGTGAGGCTCTATGTTTGGGTTTCGGATTTAGGGGTTTAGGGGTTTAGGGGATCTAGGGGATTTAGGGTTTAGGGGATTAGGGGTTTAGGGGATTTAGGGTTTAGGGGATTTAGGGTTTAGGGGTTTAGGGGTTAGGATTTAGGGGATTTAGGGTTTAGGGGATTTAAGGTTTAGGGGATTTAGGGTTTAGGGGTTTAGGGGATTTAGGGTTTAGGGGATTCAGGGTTTTGGGGTTTAGGGGATTTAGGGTTTAGGGGATTTAGGGTTTAGGGGTTTAGGGGTTTAGGATTTAGCGGATTTAGGGTTTAGGGGTTTAGGGGTTTAGGTGATCTAGGGTTTAGGGTTTAGGGGATTAGGGGTTTAGGGGATTTAGGGTTTAGGGGATTTAGGGTTTAGGGGTTTAGGGGATTTAGGGTTTAGGGGATTTAGGGTTTAGGGGTTTAGGATTTAGGGGATTTAGGGTTTAGGGGTTTAGGGGTTTAGGGGATTTAGGGTTTAGGGTTTACAGGTTTAGGGGATTTAGGGTTTAGGGTTTACGGGTTTAGGGGATTCAGGGGGTTTAGGGTTTAGGGGTTTAGGGGTTTAGGATTTAGGGGATTTAGGGTTTAGGGATTTGGGGGTTTAGGGGTTTAGGGGATTTAAGGGATTTAGGGTTTAGGGGATTAGGGGTTTAGGGTTTAGGGGTTTAGGGCTTAGGGGTTTAGTAATTGTCATCACCATCAGACTCATAATGATGACAACAAAAGCAATAACAACAACAAGAATCAAAAGGTCCTCTAGAAAATTAATAATCATCCCCATCATAATAATACAGAGAAAAAATACCCATAACAATAACAACCGTATTAAACCCCCTAAAGCCTCAATCTTATTATGATGCATATTCATTATGATGCTTATTCTGAGTAATACTACAAGTATTTTCTGTCTGTTATGTATTCTTTATGGTTGTTTATATCGTTCGAGACGGTAGGTTGAAGTTTTAAGTGTTTGTTTTCATAAAGTGTTTGTTTTCATAAAGCTGGAAAGGTATATTAAGGCTTTATAGTGTTGGATTTCATTTGGTTTGGAAGCTTTTGTAATGTGATTTTAACACGGTTTGAGAGGGTAGATTGGAGCTTTAAACTGGTGTTTTTATGGGTTGAAGCTTTGTGGTGTCTGGTTGCTACAGTTTGAATCAGTGGATTATGATTGGGGCTTCATGGTGTCTGTGTTACTTGGAGGTTCATGCGTAGTTACAAGTGGGTAACACGGACGGATTGAAACTGTTTCGGATTTGTTTGAGGCTCGAGGGTTTCACTGTCTTGCGGGCTCAGGGAGTTGCAGGGTACTCTATTACAGGAGCCAAAAAATTAGAATAGGGTTTTGGGAATCATTAATTTGTAGAAAGAAAAGGAACCCCCAAGAAATTATAGGTAAGCATTTAGGCCCCTGTAGTATGTGCTCAGGCTGTCCTTAGCACGCGTGCCGCATGCCATGCGGCTTGCGATGAAGAGTTTGCAGTTTCGGATTTCAGGGTTTGGGGCTTTTGCGTTTCTGGCTTCGGGTTCGGAGGTCTGCAGCGGGCGCAATCTGAAAAGCGCTACAAGACCCAAAATGACGAAGGCTCTTTCCCCCCCCCCCCCCCGGCCGGAAAAAACCAAAGCCTAAACCCGGAAATCCCAAAACATCCAACCACGGTCATCCAACCACGGTATCCCTCGCAATCTGCCTGCAAGAACCCCAAGACCACTTTTAAAGAATACTTATAGATATTGTAAAGAAAACAAAAAGATGCCTCATACAACAATTATGGGACCCTGATGGAATCCGAAAGCCTTGAAAGACTTTCTGGACGCCGTGCAAAACTCTCTGAACCCTTAAGGAAACCATTAGAAAAACCCTACTACAAAAAGAAAGAACCTTTGGAAACCATGATAGAACGATTTATAGAGCCCTTCGAACAACATTAGAGCCTCTGAAACACCTGGCGCCTACAACGCCTTTGTAACACCCACAAACCACCTAAAAACCTGTACTTAAAGGATCCTGGGACTTAGTAAGTAGCGTTATAATTAGGGTAACTATACTTTTAACCCCAATTAAGGTACTTATAACCTTACTTACTAAGTCCCATGATCCTGCAAGTAGTCTTAGTAACCCTGTTGAAGACTCTTGACCCGAAACTCCTTGCAGCCGCCCCGACGCATGGGACGAGGACTGATGTGATGGGAAACCCCTGCATGAAGCACCCCGGCGGGCCTCCTGGGTGCAAAGATGTGCGGGCGGTTTAGGGTTTAGGGCTTAGGGTTTTTTAGGGTTGAGGGTTTAGGACAACCCGCTTTGACAAAGGGATACGTACGTCGAGCTTAGATTCTGAGGCTTTCTTAAGGTTTTGTGAGGGTTACGAAAAGGATTTCACCTTGAATCAGATTGGATTTGGGTTTACGGTTTTGGTTTCAGCCTTGACAGTGACTCCCAGAAAAATGGAAACCGGATTAAGGCCAAACAGTGCAGGGAGTCCCTTTACATTACTCTTGAGGATTGAGGCTATTGGCTTTCCAACGCTTCTACTGTACGGTGACGGCTTCCGGATCCAGGGCTGAAAGCTTACATGTATGGTTTTTGAGATATATGGGCGGTTGTCAAAATTACGGTCCCTTTTTGGGTCCTTAGTATAATACGGCACCTAATATTTAGGGTACCCCAAAAGGGACCATAATTTTAACAACCACTCATATACAAGGTCTTTACAGGTGAAGGGGTCCTCGTTTGGCGATCTACAGGAAGCTTCCCTTTAAAGGCCTAAACCCTAGACCCTAAACCCCTAAACCCTAATCCCCTAAACCCCTAAAGGCCCTAAAGGCCCTAGACCCTAAACCCCTAAACCCTAATCCCCTAAACCCCTAATCCCCTAAACCCCTATACCCTAAAGGCCCTAAACCCCAAAGGCCCTAAACCCTAATCCCCTAAACCCCTAAACCCTCAACCCTCAAGGCCCTAAACCCTGAAGCCTTGTTGATTTCATTTTGGCCGGGGTCTGGCTCACGGTTCGTTTAAGGTTTAGGGTTTAGGGGTTTAAGGTTTAGGGGATTCGGGCTTTAGGGGTTTAGGGGTTTAGGGGTTTAGGGGTTTAGGGGTTTAGGGGTTTAGGGTTTAGGGGTTTAGGGGCTTAGGGTTTAGGGTTTAGGGTTTAGGGGTTTAGGGGTTTAGGGTTTAGGGGTTTAGGGTTTAGGGTGTCAGGCGTTCAGGAGTTTATGAACACGGCTGAGAAACCTGCGGTACGGGGGCTTTTTCGGACGGCGTGAACTTACATCCGAAACGACAATACCTCGAAACCAAATCCTCAAGCCCAAATCAACGCTGTTTGCTAAATCCTTAGCTGGGTCGTAGAGTATCCCTGAGGTTTCCCAGCGTCAAGATTCATGTCTAGATATGACGGCTACGAGAAAGGATGCATTTCACTGCTGCTATAGTGTCTACTACACGGTCTTTTGTTCGGTAATGCTGCGAACAACATTACTTTCAAAGATATTTACCATACGTACAACTCAGTTTCCTGGGACCTTCAGTAGGGCCTGGGGCACATGAAGTGTGCCCTGCTCCTGCAGTTTCCAGGCTGCGAGACTCCTACCCAGTTGGACCTACAACCCCTTTATTCTGAAATCCAAAACCCTGAACCCTAGACCCACAAAACCCGAAACCCTAAACCCAAAGCCCCAAGCCTCCTAACATTACTGCGTTATGTTATGAAAAAATGAAAAAATGGAATATGGTATAATACTAATACTAATACTAAAGCTGTTCTTCAGATTATAATGTTAAAAGATAATCTATGCCTCGCTTAGAAGCATAATAAAAACAGCATGTTTAATCTTCTCTTAGGTTTTATATGAACAAGACTATAGTAATGTTTTGCTTTCGAAGCTTCCGGTGAAAATTTGGCACGGATTGCGGACCGGAGCCGGCTGAGCCTTCGGGCGCTTCTAGGGCTCTTCGAGCTCTAGGACATCTGGGAAGTAGGAGGTTTAGGGTTTTGGGGTTCAGGGTGAAGGGTTGTGGGTTTTGGGGTTTAGGAGTTTAGGATTCAGGGTTTAGGGTTTTGGGGTTTAAGGCTTGGGGTTTGGGACATCTGGGAAGTAGGAGGCTTTTTATGGGCAGGGCTTTGGGGGTTTAGGGTTTAGGTTGAGCCAGCGGTATAGAGTATGTGCATTATACCGACCCTTCGGGACACTGAGCCCAGTGGCAATGCTGATGATCACAGATCACCATCTTGAAGTTGATGGTGGTGATGATATTGGCGACGATGGAGATCACGGACAGGGTGATGGATGGCGAGGATGGCAAAGTTGGCGGTGGTAGTGATGCTGATGCTGATGATGCTGCTGATGATGGTGATGACAGAAAACACTACAACTAAGAACAAGGATGAGAATGAGAATGACTGCAGTGCCAATGATGATGCTGCCGCTGGCTTCCAGCTTTTTGCTAGGCTTTTCGTAGCCTCCGCACAGCGTTCACACTCGCTACACAAGGGCTCCTACATTTCTACGGGCTGTAGATCCCTTAAAGGAACCCCTGTAGATCCCTTTAAAGGAACCCCCAAAAGATCCCCAAGGCTTTACAAGATACGAAGGGACCCTTCTGAACCTGCTTTGGGGCTTCGGTGCTCCGGAAACTCTGGGAGCCTTTCGTCTTTAGCTTTTGAAGTGTACTTGGAGGATCATGGGACTTAGTACTTCCTTAAAGGGTTCCTTAAGGCGCTCCTTTTAAAGAGTTCTATAAGGGATCCATAGGGGTTTAGGGTTTAGGGTCGACTTGGAGGATCATGGGACTTAGTAAGTAAGGTTATAAGTACCTTAATTGGGGTGATAAGTATAGTTACCCTAATGATAACCCTAGTTACTAAGTTCCATGATCCTTTAAGTACCTTCAACCCTAAACCCGAAAGGGGTGGGTTTGGGGTTTGGGGTACTGTAGAGGAGACGAGTGGCTCTCGACCCCATCCACAAAGGGCTCGCTAAAGAAGATACGAAGAAAAGCAAGCATTTCGGCCATGTCACCACGTCCACGCCGGGGAGCACTGGACAAAGCTAGCCTAGGGGTCTCTCGGCTTGTGGGGCTGAGCGTTCTGCAGATGGGGTTCTTTTTCCAGAGAGCCCAATGCCTCTTAATTCAGCAATAGACCTTAAATTATAAGGGGCTTCATATTATGATTTAAGCTATACTCCTTAATTGAGGGGTATTGGGCTCTCGGGGCTTCGGGCTTTTGGGGCTTTAGGCTTCAGGCTTTGCTGGAGCCTTGGAGACTTGGGTTCGGGCTCCGGGAAGGGAGCCGTCTGAGGATTCGGCTTGGCGGCTCAGTGGAAGATTCCGGCTAAGAAGCCCCGCGATGTGAGGGTTTAGGGTTTTAGGGTTCAGGATTTAGGGTTTTTTTAATGTGCAGTAGCCTCTTTGATCCTTAGGGTTTAGGGTTTAGGATTTACGGGTTTAGGGTTTAGAGTTTAGAGAGCTTTGCAAGGAAGTGTTCCCAGGGTGCTTTGGGGACACAAGATGAGGGTCTCTGACCCGGGTGGGAAAATAAGATCCGAGCCGGTAACGCTAGGGTTTAGGGTTTAGGGTTGAGCATGCAGAAATTACCACAGCCAGAATTTGTCATGCGGGCCCGGAATGTGGGTCACAGACGTCTCTTCTGCATCTTACTCGAAAGACTCTAGGACTTGGGAGTCTGCCTGATCGGTTCTCGGGGCAAATCGGCCACAAAGAAAGGAGTTCGCGGGTTCGTCTTTCTCCGTCCTAAAAGTTGTGAACTCTCAACCCTTACCCTTACACCCTCATGCAGAATGTGCGCGCTAAAACGCCTTCTGTGCATCTGACTTTTCATTTCGTCTTAAAACCATTGCGAACCCGCGCCTAGCTCGTGCGCATCGCACAACCCTCCAGAGCAAATCCAACACAGCAGACCATAACTGAGCAGTGGTTTTGGGGTTCCTTTGGCTCTTTAGCTCCTTATTTAATAGGGATTATAATCATCCCTGGCTCCTTGGCTCCTCCAATACCAATGGGTAGATAAACGCAGAAGCTAAAAGAGGCCCTCAGCCCGGAGCTTCCTGACCTCTCGGGCTTAGGGTTTAGGCTTTAAAACCCTAAGTCCCAGGCCCCAAAGTCAAAAACCACAAAAAAAGCTGAACCATACTTGGAGGTTCATGGGTAGTTATAAGTGGGGTTGTAAGTAGGGTAACCAGAATTATACCATATTAGGTGACTTATAACCCCCCTTATAACTACCCTAAACCCTAATCCCTAAACTAAAAGAACCCTAAACCCATAATAGCCCCACTTGTAACTACCCATGAACCTTTAAGTAACCTCCTCTTTGAAATGCTCACTCTGAGCCAGGCCGCGACTGTCCTGTGTAAGGCATGCAAGGCGACACCTGTTCTTGCGCAGACATCACCTACTTAAAGGATCATGGGGCTTAGTAACTAGGGTCATATTTTAAAGGGCTCCTTTAAAGGGGATCTATAAGGGTTCTATTATAAGAGGGTTTATAGGGTCTACTTAAAGGATCATGGGGTTTAGTAACTAGGGTTATAGTTAGGTAATAGTTAGGGTGACTATACTTTTAACCCCACTTAAAGTACTTATAACCTTACTTACTAAATCCCATGATCCTCCATCATAGAACCCTTGCAGATCCATTAAGGATCCCTTTAAGGAGCCCGATTATACCTTGCTTGCGGCAATCCCAACATCTACATCATAGAACTCGAATGATGCCCTTGGGGAGCCCTAAAGGGATGCCCTAAAAGCAACACTTACAGGAACCCTGAGTAGTTGTAGTAGCAGTCGTTGTAGTCAGCATCGTTGTCGTGGCAGTAGCAGTATCAGTAGCCGTGAGGAGGAGGAGGAGGAGGAGGAGTGGGACCTGGAGTAGGAGTAGGAGCAGGAGAAAGAGTAGGAGTAGGCATAGGTAGAAATGGGAGCAGGCATAGGATTTCCACGGCCGGTAGCAGTGGAGTAGTGGCAGTAGCAGTAGCAGTTACTCCTCGTAGTCGTAGTACAGTAGTAGTAGTAGTAGTAGTAGTAGTAGTAGTAGTAGTAGTAGTAGTAGTAGATGCAGTAGTTGTAGTACTACTACATCATACTACTACTACTACTACTACTACTACTACTACTACTACTACTACTACTACTACTACTACTACTACTACTACTACTGCAGTAGCAACAGCAGTAGCAGCAGTGCAGCCATGGTAGCGTGT